TGGGGGGGGGGACGCGGTTAGCGGGCGGGGCGGCGGCAGTGTAGTCACCTTGCCGCCTAGGATGAGTCCTGGCTAGCCTGGCTGACGCTCCTGGCTGGGTGAGAGCCCGCATGCGAGTGGGCCGCGTGCCCCGTCTGGGCCGAGCAGGCGGCCGCTTAGCCGGGGGCAGAGATGGGGACTATGGGGAACGGAACCTTTTCTTTGGTCACCGTCTCCGGATCAGTAGGGGCCGGCGACCCGTCACCCCCTTCACCCACACCGCAGTCGGTGATCGTCGGTCTCCCTCCCGTCACTGAGCGGCACCGGGCGTCCGATCACGTGTTACTCTTTATCGCGTGATTATCGCGTGTGGTAGGACAGTGCACGTGACCTCAATGCACGTCGCGAACATGACAGATGTCCAAGCAGCAGACGCGACGCGCCTCTCTTTCGGTTGTTGATACCGCTGGCTAGACTTTCAACACACACCTGCATTCAACACTACCTACATCGAGCCGATCGAGGTCTCGACGACACAATCGCCACCATGCATGGCGACCTCGCTCTCCAGCTCGTCACCGCTGCTCATCGCTCGACCCTCGCTTCTGCTCCCCAACTCCCGATCCCAAAGTACGCTCTCCAGCTCATCCTCTCCATCTGTCTCGAGACACGGCAGCTCGGCGTCACCATTGCCGCTGCGACGGAGCAACATGGCGTTTCATTGTCGCAAGACCGAGGTCTCGTCTGCGCCCTCACTGTCCAGCATCTGGCCGCGCGACGAAACAAACGATGCATGCTGGCGTACCTGGCGAACCGCATCGGCGGCATCAAGGAGCGCTGGTGGGACGCCGGAGGAGCCCTGTCATTCGTGCTCTCCCAAGAGACGGGAGACCCCGATGCCCCCGACCTGCGCTCGGCGCTGAGTCCGCAAGAGCTCGACTTCCTGCGCAGCTACAACAGCATGGTGCTCGACTACAAGAGCGACTTCCTCGACGTGCTCGACATTGCGGCCAGCATCGACAAGCCGCCTGGAGAACTCATGGCGGACGTCCGTGTCATCAAGGACGCTGGAGAAGTCATCCTCGAAGGAGGCGAGCGGGTCGAGTTCAGGAAAGGAGAACGGTTCAGGTTGGAGCGAGCTCAGGTTGAGCGACTCATCACGCAAGGCTACCTCGAGGAGGTGTAAACATACACGCCTGCGCACCCTTGTCTTCCTCCTTCTCCCACTGCGGATCAGTTTTGCCGTCGGTCAACTGCGTCTCCGAGACCCCTTGAGCGATTCGCCAGCCCAAACCCCAGTACCTCAAGCAACGTTTCCTGCTTGGACCACCAATGCCATACCCTTTCACGGGTCCCACAACTGTAATCATCAATCTAATCTCATGTATGCATTTGTTGTGACATAGTCTATCGTACAGGTTGCGAGGTGTCTCCTTGCTCAACGCTCATCGTCGTCCCGGGGCAGTCAGCTGGACGAGAGCCTTGACGACGTCGCCCTTTTCAGCGCGGAGAGCAGCCTGAGCCTCCTCCTTCGAGACACCAAGCTCCTTTACCTGGACGTTAGCTTAAGGCTCAAACCCCACCCAGCTCTCTATACACGCCACAGCCAAGTTGTCCGCGGACGATGGATACTTATGCCACCTGGGCCATGGTCACACCTGCAACGGCCGACAATACTCACGATGAGGTCCACATCGGCGCCCTTCATCTCCTCGGCGGGCTTGACGTCGAGTGACTCGAGAGCCTTGGCGGCCTTCGCACCCTCCTCGCGCTTGATTTTCCGGCGCTCGAGGTTCAGAGCAGAGTCCTCGAGCTTGTCTGTGTTCCTGTCAGCCTCCACTTTCTTGACACGAGAAAGCGTCATCGATCGAACGCACTCTTAACGTAGGAGCCTCCATCGGCGAACTGTTGTTAGTTTGCGTACCGATGTCTCTCAACTCACGTCCATGATGACTTCACCCTGGGGAACACGTCCAGCAGAGGCCATTTTCGGATTTGTTGTTGTTGACTGTGTCTTTCCGGCGGCTCGTAACAATGTCGGTGTGTGTCAGAAGTTGCCGCGCCTGGCCACCCGTCTCGAATTGGTTCCGCTGGTCAGGGCTGACATTAAGGCCCCGCACCAGCGATGACCATGCGTATGACTTGTGACGGAGGACCAAGTGACGTCTCTCACAGCCATCTGGCCACTGCCCTGCTTGTTCACAACATCCACCTCGGAACACCATGGCGCACCAGTCACCATTGATAGCCATCCCGCGCAAGACGACGAGCGATGCGGACTGGGCCGGCCCCGTGCGTGCCACCATCGCCCACTCGTTTGGCGAGTCCCCAGACTCGTACTCGGAGGAGATCTCGGCGCTGCAGCGTTGCCGCCAAGACGCCGTCAGGGGCGCCGGCAGCGACACCACTGGTAAGCCACCTCCTCATGACCGTTGAACTAGCTGACTGTATTGCAGCTAGAGATCTGCTCTACAAGTACTTCGGACAGCTCGAGCTGCTGGAGCTGAGGTTTGCGGAGATCAAGGTGTCCTTTGGATGGTGAGTCGTGGCAAGCTGTGAACGAAGGGTAACGAGCTTACACGCAGGAACGATGCATTCACCGACAAGCTCACGACCCAGACGTCGCTGGCTTATGAGAAGGCTTCGATCATCCACCTTCTTGCCTCTGTGCTCTCGTCACTGGCGGCGAACCAGTCCCGAGCAGACCCCGAGGGCTTGAAGCGAGCGTACTTCAATGCCCGAGCAACGGCAGGCATGCTGACCTACATCAACGAGAACTTCCTGCACGCGCCCTCGACCGATCTTTCCCGAGACGTCGTTCACTTCCTGATCAACCTGATGCTCGCCCAAGCGACCGAGATCTTCATGGAGAAGCTCGTCGATGAGAAGAAGGCTGCCGGACTCGTGGCGCGAACAGCAAACCAGGTCGCCAGCATGTACAACGCACTTGTGGACGAGATGAAGGAGCACCAGGGCAAGGGCATCTTTGACCGGAACTGGATGAGCGTCCTTCAGTGCAAGCAGAAGTACTACGCTTCGGTCGCTCAGTTCTACAAGGCCAAGGCGGACGACGCCGCGGGGAAGCACGGTGCCGCCCTTGCGCGGTACAAGCTGGCTGACGACCTCGGCTACGAGGCGAAGCGTTTCGCGAACAACTTCAACTACAACTTTGTCGCCACTGCTTCCCCGACACTTCCGACCGACGCCGGGTCCTCGCTGGTGGAGATTTGCAAGGCGCACTCTGCCGCGTGCGCAGAGGCCAAGGCCCAGGCCACCAAGGACAACGACCTCATCTACCACGACGCCCTCCCCAGTGAGGCTTCCTTGCCCGCGATCGAGAAGCTTCCCCCGGCTACGCCAGTCACCATCCAGGATGTCTACGGCAACCCCGAGGTGTCCAAGCTCATTGGCCCCGACATGTTCGCTCGCCTCATCCCGCTTGCGGTACACGAGTCGGCGTCCGTGTACTCGGAGGAGAAGGCCAAGCTTGCGCGTGGGGAGGTTGAGCGTGTCGAGATCTCAGAGGCGGAGATCAGGGGTGCCCTCGAGCACATGGGCTTCCCTGCCATCGTGTCGCGATGGCGGAAGCTGGCAGACGGCGACGACGACGAAGAGGACATTTCGCTGCCTGGCGAGATTGTGCGTATCGCGAACGAGGTGCGAGACGCGGGCTCGACGGACGCGCAGGTCCGGAAGCTCGAGGGCGAGCGTGCCCGCTTCGAGCACGAGCTTCAGTCGCTCAGCGCCTCGCTCGATAACGAGAGCCGCGAGTGCGAGCGCGCTCGTGCCAAGTACAACCCGAACTTTACGCAGTCGCCCTCGGGCCCGCTCACGAACCACTTCCGCCAGACCATCTCGCAGAATCTGCAGGCGCTGCAGAGCGCTACCAACGCCGACCAGCAGATTATCGGTCTCTGGCGGGAGATTCAGCCAGCTATTGCCAGTCTGAAGGGTGGACCTGACGGTCTGCAGGCCCAGGCGCGCGACATTGCTGCCGGAAAGAACAAGCAGGCTGAAGTGCCGCAGGGCGTTTCGCTGCTTGACCTCCAGGATGAGGAGCAGGTCACGCAGCGCTTGGATGCGGGCGAGCAGGAGGAGCTCCGCAAGGGAGCCAAGGACGCGCAGGAGCGTCTCGACCGCCTGCACAAGATCCGCCGGGAACGCGACGACGTCCTGAAAGACCTGAAGGAGAAGGTTAGCTTACTTAATAGTGTACTGAGCTGACATCCAGATTCAAAACGACGATGTTTCGAACCTGCTCCTGCTGAACCGCCGGTCGCAGAACGTCGAGCCGCAGCTGTTCGCTTCCGAGCTCGAGAAGTTCCGTCCGTACCAGTCTCGCCTTGCCGCGGCCGTGAACGCGAGCAAACAGATCGTGACCGAGCTTGAGGGTATCGTCTCTCGTGTCGAGAAGGGTCAGGGAGTGCGCCGTCATGCGCGAAGCGACAAGGAGCGCGCCAAGCGGTTGCGCGACTGGGAGCGCAGCCTCGAGAAGGCCGGCGCTCAGCACGCGGAGGTCGTCGCTGGCCTCTCGAAGGGCCTCGGATACTACGAGAGCCTGGACCGCGTCGTGTCCGACATTGCGCGCGAGGTGAAGAGCTTTGTCCACCAGCGCGACAGCGAGCGCAGCCGCCTCGTCTCTGAGCTCGAGACGCGGCAGCGTATCGCCGGCGGTGCCGGTGCCGGCAGCAGCCCGTCCCCCGCCTCGCGCGACATTGGCAGCCAGCTCGCTGGTCTCAGCCTGAACGCTCCAACCGGCCCGCCAGGCGCTCCGCCCGCGCCGCCCAAGCCGTCATCGCCATATGCGCCGCCAAAGCCTTCTTCCCCGGCCAGCAACCCGTACGACTTCAGCGCCCTCTCGAGTCTGTCGAATGCACCGAGCTCGTTCCAGACGGGTTCGCCCGCCCCGCCCCCGCCGAACCGCTCCACAAGTGGCGGATACCCCTCTTTCCCGAGTGTGCCTTCTGGCGCGCCGAGCTCGTCGCCTTCTGCGCCATACCCGCCCCCGCCAAAGCCGCAAGGCAGCTACCCGCCCCCTCCCGGTCAGCAGCCGTCGCCCTACCCGGCGCCACCGCAGCAACCGCAGAGCACGGGCAGCTCGTACGCTCCTCCTCCCCAACAGCCGCAGAGCACCGGCAGCTCGTACACGCCGAGCTACCCCTCGCACCCCTCGCCTCAGCACTCGTACTCCGCTCAGCAGCCGCAGAGCACCGGCGGAAGCTACTCGGCCTACCCTCCCCCGCCGAAACCGACCTCGTATGGCGCGTACCCCCCTCCGCCGCCTAAGCCGTCGTACTCGTACTCGTCCCCTCCGCCGCAGCATTCGATGCCGCAGAGCCAGCCGCAGTACCAGCCTCCTCCTCAGCAGTACGGTGGTCAGCCGCAGTACCAACCTCCCCCTCAGCAGCAGCAGTATGGCCAGCAGCCGCAGTATCAACCTCCGGGACAGCAGCCGCAGTATCAGCCTCCCCCTCAGCATCAGCAGTATGGGCAGCAACAGCAGTATCAGCCCCCGCCGGGCGGACAGCCGCAGTACCAACCCCCACCTGGTGGGCAGCCGCAGTACCAGCCCCCGCCGGGGCAGCAGCCCCAATACCAACCTCCCGGGCAGTACGGGTACCCTCAGTACCGCTAAGTTGGTAGACTATGCATAGTGTGAAGGCGTGGTGCGGTGGTGCATGGACGAGTGTAAATGTGGCAGTATTTGGTGCCACCTGTGTCGACCGAACAGAGACAGCACCATCGTGCCATCGCAGTGCGCGGTGTGACCAGGATGGGGACGAGATCCTGGGGTCCTCATGAACATGCGGGTATACGAGGTGTACGGCATGGGCTCATTTGGGGGTCTCTCCCCGCGGAGTTGATGCCTCTCGAGCCGAGCCGAGCCACTGCACGGGCTCCGTCCCCCCTGTATGTCACTACGTAGGATCGTTTACTGGAATCTATGGGCATCTCTCAGCCTTGCGCATTAGCTCGGCTGTCTCTGTAGACCTTGCTGCAAACGCATGCGCTTCTGCTTCAGATTCCAGCCGAGATGGATAGCCTGGATAGCCTGGAAGCGGGCAGCCTTCCCGCAAGTCGCAAGTCGCAAGTCGCAAGCGATAACTGCTGATCCTCTGAGAGCTCTTGTCATGGCTCTGCAGTGCCTCCCTTTCCGCAGAGTACGCACGCCCATGTACTAGACTAACACGCGTGCAGCACGGTCATGGCGCACGGCACAGAGGCATCGATTGTTGGAATCGGGCCGTCTGCGCACTTCCGGACACAACACACACGAGACGTGAGGCCAGGGCAGTGGGAAGAGGGGAAGAGAGGACCCTGGCGGAAACGACCCGGCATCTCCCCACCCCTCCTTCAGTTCCGGGGCAAGCCGAGAGAGGCGGTGCACCTTGGTGCACCAAGGTGCATGTTCACATGGACGCATGGCAGTATGCTTCACATGCTTGTTGACAAAAGGACTAGAGGGCTCGGTCAGAGGCGTGTTTCGGGGTTCTCCCCTCTGCCTGCTCTGTCCTCACTCGTCGAGCGTATCCGTGAGAGAAACCAGAGTAGTATACAGACTTGCACGCAAGGGACAAGTGACATGGGAACCGTGTCTGGGGTCCGAGCACCGTGTACACGGTAGCACCCCTGCAGCCATAGGGGATGGCTGATCGCCGGCTGAGACAGCGAGACACTGACACGGGCAGTCATGTGAGTTTCCCCATAATCGTCCAAACACACTCGTGGGATTCTGGGACTATTGGAGAGACATTGAACCCCCTGCAATTCCACCTGCGTCTCCCAGGTTGTATATCTGCAGAACACGACAATGAAGGGGACGACGAAGCGACGAAACACCCTCCCCCCTCCCCGAAGTGACGACTGGACCTTTTCGTCACTGATTCCAGCAATGTTGGGATTCTGCGAAGGGGTCAATGGCGTCAGTGGCACAGGTGATAAACTCTGATACGTCCCCTCCGCGTACTGCTGGAGTCAGCTGGGGAGCGCCACAGTTCCCACTCCACACAGACTGGTGGGTAGAGAAAGCAGCTGCGCTCCACATCACTCCTGTAGGTTTGTTTGTTCCTAGCGTCTCCTCGCAGTAGGCTGTGCAACTGTGCAGATGACAGAGCCAGAGTGATTGCGACGCCAGCTGTTGCTCGACTCGCTCCAACGCCACATTCGGACTGCTGGAGGCACGTCTCTACGATCGTCTGACGCGTTCGAAGCCAGGTCCTGTAGGCACTGAGCAAGTGCCAAACACGACACGAGCACAGCCCCGGTGATAGACCCCCTGGGCATGAAACGTCCACAAATGGACAGACTCACGTCGCCAACTCTAACTTGTCCGCTAGTCTTGTTCCTGCGTCCAAGTTTGGCTAACTGGAACATCGTGAACGCCACGATCATCGCGTGTGCCTTCCTGCTTCCTTCTGTTTCTTCTGGAGTCTACAATGACTGACTGAGACTGAGGCTACGGCTACGGCTACGCCGGCTGAGCTCACGACAACACAGACAGCTGTAAGCCCTATCTGCCTTCTCGGCAGAGTTCAGTGAGGCCGTCACACGGTGACACCGTGACCTCCGGCACACGACGGAGCTTGTACTGTCACGGCGTGATGTACTTCGAGCTCCAGCTGCAATCCAGGCCTGCCATCTTAGACTGTGCCACTAAAACGTTCTTCGATCAACGGATCAAGAGGGCAGTCACCACGTTGGCCCCGGATCTATCGGAATAACTTCCAGTTCGTACGCACTACGCACCACCTGGATGCCACCTGGCCGCACCTGAAGCCTGAGTGGCCTGAGGCAGCCTGAATGGCCCACTGCAATCGGGACTGCTTGGCTCCAGCATCTCACTGGATCTGCACACGCGTGAGTGTGTAGTGGAAACCTGAGTGTGCCGCGGGTTGGGTTCGGGAATCCTAATTCTGTCGATTACGGGATCGCTGCTTTTGTTCCTTACACGGCTCGCTACTTGCTGCTCTGCTGATCGAAGTACCGGGATACCTCGGCGGTCTCAGGCAGGAGCTCACGCTATGATGAGCTCCTGCCTCGCGTTGCCTCGCGTTTCTTGGTGACTAGACTGTTCGTTTCTAGATGAGTGTTATGGGCAAGGAGGTGAGAACACAGCAACAATGGTCCGCGAAGATGAGCGGGCAGCCCTCCTCAACCATGCATTCGGTGACTGAGCACCGCTGCCATCTGGAGTACTCGGGCACGGACAGCACGGGCAGTGCCTCTCACGGCATCTCGAGCTTGTCCTTTCGTGTCGCCAAACAGTACCGTAGGTCGACCAGCGAACGCGTTCTATTCGCGCCAACACGCAGAAATCTCGGGAGGGATTGGGGAGAAGGACCCCCGCGTGCCGTGCTGCCGTGCTGCCGTGCGCCGTCCCGACAACGCCTGCACGCCTGACTACGCAGACGTACGACCCCGAACAAGGTTCGACAAGGTTCATTTCGGAACATTTTTCACCTTTGCTGGCTCGCGGCTGGCTCGCGGCTGGCTCGCAGCTGGGCTCGCTGTAGGCCACGCGTGTTCGGACCGACCGGGCCCGGCACGCTCGCTGGGCGAGCTTGTTGGGCTTTCCGAATGCGCCGAATGCGAGTTGTGTGCCAACAGGCTGTCCGTCGTAAATGTGTGCTGATCTCTGAATACAGCGGTTACTGACGGTCGACAAAATCAAGGTGGGTGGGTCAGTGGGCCAGAATACATTGAGCCTGCAGTGTACCCTGACATGACATGCGTCCGGAGCTGTGTTCCGCGCATCCCAGTGTGCACAGTGCAATGTCGCCGTCCTCCCCGCATTCAGTGAGCAGCCCAGGCTGCAGGCTGCTTGACCGGCGACGGAGTACGAGACGCTAGCCCGTGCCGCCGTGCCGCCGTTGCCCAGACCGTGGCCAGCGCGGTCCGTGGCCAAGGCGCAGCCCAGGTAATGACAAGCCAGACTAAGCCACGGGCCAGGCAGTGCTGAAAGCTGGGCAAGGTCGAGGGCAGCCTCGCCGATCACATTGTCTTTTTGCCCCACACTTGAGGCTCTGCACAAGCTCATGGCGTCTCATTTATGCGAGCTTACATCCTTCCTGGCGCATACCATACGCCGCATACTCGGCTCTGCGTGCGCTTCCTTCGTCCAGATCTCGGAGCATCACTCTCACTGACAGAGATCTGCCTGGTAAAGAAGATGACCAGGGGACATGAGGACAGAGGCAGACACGAAACACGATACGGCACGCTGACGCCCGTGGGGATGCATCCGGATCAGAGTAAGGGCAGCCTTCGCAGTGGAGACGCGGTGGTACGCGTTCATCAAGTCTGCGATGGGATCGAGTATGCATAGGATCAGCTACGACGTGGGGAGTAAAGTCGACCTGTACAACAGAGCAGCACAAAAGACGGTTTACGTGAACCCTGAGGGCAAGGACTGGTTGACGACCCTGCCGTGTGTGCCCTGCCTTGTCCCTGACTTCCCTGCAGGTGCTAACAACCCATGCCTACCCGCGTCGTGCAACCAGTTGACTTTGCCTCGAACCCGCTCTCTCACTCTGCACTCTGGCGACCTGGCCACCTGGTTCGCGCCGTCGTCTCGAGTCCACGTACAGCAGTAACAGTAGTGGGCTTGCTGCAAGCAGTCGGTCGTAACACTGTACAATCCTCCTTCCTAATCGAAACCGACTCTCCTTACCCCCCCCTTTCCCATCTCGACATTGCCAGTCGGCCAGATCTGTGCCCTCGCCCCCGCCTTTGCCCAACCACCGGCGCGACCCCCCCCTGTCACACCGGCACGACGACGGACCGACATCGACCGTGCAGTGTGCAGCTGCAGTGTGCGCCAGTCTGAAAACGGTCGAGTGAAGCACCCACCCGACGGTCCGACAGGCGGATTAGGACGTGCCTCGGACGCTTATTACACCGGGTCTCCCTACAGTGGGTCACGGAGTGCTAATCCCTGATTAGCCCGGGGTTGGTCGATTAGCCTTTGTACGGTGCAGTGTGCTCCCTGCTCCCCTTTGTTCCCTGTCCGCCGTCTCTGCGTCTGCCTGAGGCTTGCTAGGCTCTCCTGTGCCGTGTCGTGTCGGGCGATAATTCCCTGCTCCCCCCTAGCGTCTAGTGTGTAGCGTCGACGCTCGCCTCGTAGCTCGACTCGCTCGAGCCAAAGAGCCAGATTCAGAACCCAACCACCGACAGCCGGTGCATCGCATCGCATTCCAATTCTACGCACCATGGCGTCCTCACCAACACACGTACCGGGCCCTGCTCTGGGTCCTGCAGCACCCTCAGTATCGGAGGACGACTTCAGGTCGCTGTCCAACGACATGGACACGAACGAGGAGGACCAGCACTTGACACGGCACACTTCATTGTCGTTCCCAGGCACGGCGACCGCGACCCCTGCTGGAGAATTGGCTCGAGCCTCGCGAGCCTCCGCTGCAGTGCACACGGACGCAGCGACTTCCCCCGCACAACCACCCTCATCCATCCCGCTCCCTCACCATCCACCCGACCAAGTCACACCAACCCATATCCCTCCTCCTCCCCGAGATCACCACATTTCCACCTCAACTCTACCAGACACGGCGGCCAGTGCGACCTCGATCTCATCCCCTTCAGCAGACACCCCCGCCGACGTCGACGTCCCGAGTGCCAGTATCCCTGCGTCGTTGGCATCGGTTGCCCTCCCAGACGACTCACCCACTCTGGTCACGAGTGCTTCTGCCCCCGTCCCGCTGGCCGTACCCTCTGTGCCGCCCGTGCCCTCACCCTCTGTCCCCTCTCTGCTGGCCTCTCAAGATACAGGCACATCCTCCTCAAACTCTCCTACCACCTCGACTACGACACAACCAAGGCAGTCGGCCTTCCAGTACCCCACCTTCCACCTCGACTCGTTCAAGTCGCTGTCGTACGAATCCTTCACAAACCAGAGTTCTGCGTCCGCCAGCACCGGGCCCAGCACTAGCGACATTGCGACCCCTCCCACCTCGGCATCCTTGATCCCTCCCCGTCTTCCCATCAGGTCACCTTCCCCGACCTCCTCGTCCGCCCTCAAACAACCGCAGGCCACAGACGTCCCCCGTCCGTCCAAAAGTGGGCAAGACATCTCAGATCATCGCGAATCCCAACACGACGCGCAGGAACGAGCGCCCGAAGACTCTGCACCGACTACGGCCACGAACACGCCCCTGCTTTCCACCCCGGGCCTCCTCGACTCGCTCCCGATCCGCCGCACCTCGCTCGTCGGACCTCCCAGCCCTTCCTGGCCGTCCGTGCAAGAGCCTGTGCAGAGGCAGTCTGTTTCATCCGCGACTGCCCCTCCGCCGTCCGACCTGGGCTACCTCGTTGACGCCGTGCCTGACATTGAACAGAAGGAGCAACAGTCTTCCCTTACGACCTCGCCCTCGACGACGACCCGACCACTGACGATCGTCACGGACGCGGACAAGACCCCCGTCGTCCCATCCTCGCCAGCATCCCGTGCATCCGGAGCATCCGGAGGTGCGTCTGCATTCACTGACTCGCATCTCGCGTGGCCCCAGGTTCCGCGCCCACCATCTGCTGCGCTGTCTGCCGGAGCTAGCGGAAGCGTGCGTGACGTTCACGCGGATTCACCCTTGACGCCTACCAACGCACAATTCGAGTTCCCTCCTCCTCGACTGGTCGAGTCTCCAACCGTCCCTCGTCGTCGAACGCTGATCGCGGCCAGCCCCACTCCGTCGGCTGTGCAACTCGAACTGCAGCAATCCCCGACTGCGCCGCCACCGACGACATTGCCTACGTCGCCGCCTGCACCTGATCTGCGTCTTCAGCCGCAGTCGCCGCCGCCGCAGCAGCATCTTCACCCGGAACGTCGATCCTCGCTCCTGCCCCCCGCGAAGCGTGCATCATTCTGCTCCACGACGTCGTCGGCTCTTGAAGCGGCAGCTGCAGACGCTTCGAGTCTGGCTCCGCCCATTGATCTGTCTTCGCCGTCCAACTCGACGCCAAAGCGCACGAGCACCAGCACGATCAGTGCAGGGGACGCGCGACCTGGATCACTCACACCTCGTGGTCGTGCATTGCTGCCCACATCGCCCCAGTCTCCTAACAGCTCGAGCGATCCGAGCCGCAAGTCTGTCCAGATGACCATGCCTATGCCTATGCCAATGCCCGTCCCGACTTCTGATCCGTCACGTCGGTCATCCACACATCATCCGACATCACCGTCGAAGAACGGGGCTGGCCTAGGCATCCAGAGCTACGAGCCCGCAGCCATTCGCCAAGTTCGCACTCGCTCGCCTGACCGCTCGTCTGCTCGATACCAGACTTCGCCCGTACCGAGCGGCAAGCAGTTCGACATGCCTACTCCCAACGTTAGGAAGTCTGTTTCGGTCCCGCCGCCGTCAGGCTTCCAGCCCAGCCACCAGCCGGCCAAGTCGGCATCCAACCTCCCCGCCATAGCAGGCCTCGCCGACGCTGGTCCTTACCCGACACCAGTGAACAACAATGCCCCGCTCGCTAAGGGCAGCGGAGGAGGAGGCTTTGCGCTACCAGGGGACGTTTCCGGCCAACCGGCTCCCCAAAAGCCGATCAAGCCCAATGAGGAGATCTGTCTCGAGTGCATGATGCGTGACCGCGATCTCGCCGACGTCGACGTCTCAGGACCAGGATGCTGGGACCGTGAATCGAACGCTGCCTTTGAAGTCCTGAAGGAGCGCGAAACCGAGGTCCTGCGCACCATGGCGCAGGAAGATGCGCTCTCCCGTGCTTCTTTCGAGGCGTCGACATGCACCGGCGAATCAGCCAGCACGCCGCGGTCTCACGCCAGCGCCCCCGCCCCAGACGACACGTCCCGCAGTGCCGACGAGAAGCGCAAGCAGCTCAAAGAGGCTCGCCGAGCGCGCCGTGCTGAGCGGGATGCGCAGGTTGCTCGCGTCGGATGGCGCGGCTTCAAGTGGGAGGAGGGCCCCAATGGCGAGGGCTTCCCCAAAGGCTTTGCCGGTACCCGACCTGGAGCTTTGACGGAGAAGGGTATCAAGAACGTCATGCAGATGGTGAGTTAGCCCATGAAGCAAGAACTGACATGCAGTACCCTTCGTCGTCTGCTCTGCGTTACCAGATCCTGCAGAACTACCTGCGCGGTCAGTATCGATTGATTCTGGAAGTTCGGCAAGAAGCACAGCGAATCGGACACTACACCGAACCCGAGGATCCTCACTACCCGAACTCGCAAGAGACGCACGAGAGCTCGCTCGACCCGTCGTCGACCATCTCGCGTCACAAGATGCGCAACCAGAGCATCGATCAGGGCGCGCCGTCCATCAAGGCTCCTTCTGTCAGCACGGCTCGCTCCGTGCCGATTCTCAGCAGCCAGGTGCCGATGCTGCGCCAGAGCCCGTCGACGCCGGCTGGTTTAAGCAATGTCTCCGTGCAGGCCCGTCGCCCGCGGACGCAGTATGTTCCAGACCGCGAGCCTGGAATCAACGGCGCCAGCCTCTCAGCGCAGACGTCGCGCCAGACGCTCAGCATCAACACGCCGACGCAGCGTCCGTCGAGCCACTTCAAGGCGCCCAGCAGCACGAGCGTGCCCAAGGCGCGTGGCTCGCAGTACTACACCGACGACTGGTCGGACACCGAAGACCTGTGGGCTCCCTCGTCACCGGCGTCTGGCAACCTCCGGCCGTTCTCCTTTGCTGTTCGTGCGGGTGCCGGAGGTGGTCAGGGCAGCGATGGCGGCCACAGCCGCAAGAGCTTCTTCGGCCGCTTCGGAGGATCAGTCACGTCTCTGTTCACTGGTGCTGGAAGTCATGGCGGTAGTGGAAGCATGATGGACATGCAGTAAGTCCCAGCTGTTGTGATGACGCTTAGCTAACCTCCAGCCTTGGTCTCGAGTCCGACCGCCGCAACCGCACGTCGTCGTACCAGGCGCACGAGCAGCCCCGCGTTCTTCCCGGCATGGCGCCCGGCCGACCGTCCTTCCAGGGTGGTCGCAACTGGGTCGCGACCTCGATGTACCTCGGAAATGGCGGCGCGCGCTCCAGCGACGACGTCATGTTGCGTGAGCGACGGGCGCACTCGACGAGTGCTTCGCGTTTGACCCAGGTTTCGATGTACGGGGACGACTTTGATCGCTCGTCTGCGACGACGGAGAAGAAGAAGGGATTCAAGGGCCTGATACAGAAGATGAAGAAGGGCAAGAAGGACCCGTCGCGTCGCGGCACCGAGGAGCTCGCGCCGCCTCCGCCGATGGGCTTCCTCGTCAACCGTCAGGACGGCAAGCACAACCGCAACCGCTCGGGCTCTTCGTCGTCGTTTGTCGAGGCTCCGTCGCCGGTGCCCCAGCAGCAGATGCAGATGCCCCGTGGCTCCATCAATGGGCCCATGACAGCCCCCTCTTCGGGTAGCGACGTCAGCCCCACGAGCTCGCGATTCGGACCTGACGGACGCCAGCGCACCAACCCTGTGCCGGAATTGCCCCCAGGAGCGGAGTCGGCTGGCTACCCAGGCGCCACGATGGAGATGTTAGCCCACCTGCCGGGCAACAGCCCCGTCCAGGCGACGCACTCTCAGCAGCAGCTCGAAGCTCCCACGTTCACCGACGAGCCTCAGGCTATGAACCGAGACCCGTTCGCGCGCTCGGCAGAGACTGCTTCCGACGGCAACCGCTCTCCGTCGCTGTACACCGTGCAGGGTGGCTCGCGCAAGAGCATGCAGCCCTCGGTGTCCTCCCGGCTCTCGACTTCGACGACGATGCAGGGCCTCGAGACGCCGGACGGCCAGCCGTACATGAACGGCAGCTATTCGCAGCAGCCTCCGTCGCAACAGTCGCTCTCGCCCAACCGCCACAAGAACCTCCCGCCTTTGCCTCCCGGAATGGCGACGCCGGAGATGTATTCGAGCCACCAGGACGACGGTGCGTCGATCTCGATCCGGACGAGCCTGTTCGACCCGAAGCGCATGTCGTCGATGGACCAGGGCCGCGCGCTTTGCCCTCCGTCGTCGGACTACTTCCCGACCGCGTCGCCTCGCTACCACCAGGCGCCGATGCCGAACGGAGCCGTGCAGTCGAGCCCGTCCTCGACCGGGTCGAGTGTCATGCCGCCACAAGCCAACCTGCCGCTCCCGCGCCGCCCGATCCAGCCCCGCGCGAGTTTCGATGTTCTCTCGGACGCTCGCGCGCGCATCCGCCGGTCGACGGCCGAGTCTGGCCGTCTGCCGATGGAGGACATGGGTGGCCGCAACGCGCAGAGCATGTACATCCAACAGCCAGCAGCCGCTAGTACCGGCTCGTTTGGCAGGTTTATCAGCCGCGAGGCGCCTCTGGGTCCGAAGGGCGGGCTCGTTGTGCCAACGCTGCGCGAGCCCTACGGCGAGGAGCGCAAGGAGCGCCGGCGGGGCATCAAGTCGATCTTCTCCTCCAAGGCGAGATGAGAACGCAAATGGACGATTTCACACATATTTCCACACACCTACATTACAACAAGCAACAGCACTCCAGACAGCACACACACACACACATGAGATATCGTTTTTATTTTTCTAATCTTAGAAGGTTGCAGCATCTTAGAAGTGCTGAGCCAAGTGACGCATCTGCGTCATTCCACATTCATTTCCACCCCAAGACCAAACAGACTTTTTTCTTCTCTCTCCGCGAAGGCGCATACGATTACGACCCTTGTAGCAGTACGCCTATGTTAGCTATGTCCATGATAACGCGAGTTGACTGCGCAGCAGTCAACGAGCAGAATGAGCAGTGCGTTGCGTCCAGTCGAGTTCCATAGTGGACCTCTTGATCGTCATTGTCACGTGACGACCTCCGCCGATCCGCGAGATTTCGGTCTACTCGGGCAAGAACGTATCTCGAGTTGTTGCTATCAGCTATACACTTACAACAGTCATGATTCGGCGCTATCTGGCCAGGCGGCTGCCAGACTATCCCCTCACACCCCTCTCGCAATCGAAAGCTGGTCCCTCCTCACGACCCTTCTCAGCCTCATCGTCCTCCTCATCGGTCCCTCCCTCTGGATCCGACACGCCGCGACCAAAACCGCGCCGCAAGAAAGCAGACCCATGGTCCACGCCCAGTTCCTCATCTTCTCCATTCCGGGACTTGGACCCGCTGGACCCACCCCGACCACCCCGGCGCAAAAGAGAATCCACGCCCATCCGCCTCCGAGCCGGACTGCTCTCCGAGAACAAGGCGTGGGATACGGGCAGGGCACTGGGCGAGGCGCTGGCTATGCGTGCGAGAGTTGTTGGGACTCTGGATGGATCTGAGGCGTCTGCCGCGTCTGCCGCGTCTGCCGCGTCTGTCCCGGTTTCAGCTCCTGCAGCGGTTGCAGCGGTTTCAGCGCCTGCAGTGTCTCCAGCGTCTGCAGCACCTTCAGCGTCTCCAGCGTCTCCAGCGTCTCCAGCGTCTACCGAGGACCGACCGCGGAAACGAGATTACGGTTTAAAGGCAGAATACGCGTCGCGATCGTATGTTGACTCTGCTGCTGCTGCTGCTGCTGCCTTTGGCGCCTCCGCCGTCCCCGTCACTTCGGCCTCAGCAACAGCACCAGACTCGCCCTTCCCCTCGGACACTGGCTCTGCCTCCGGCTCTGGCTCTGGCTCTGCCCCAGCCACAAGCTTCGGACTAAAGTCGGCGGCCGGCTTCGGCACGAACACGAACGACCCCATGCGGCGCTCCCCACTCATCGCCGATGTCCCCGGCGCCCGGCCCGGAGGACCCGGAGGAGGGGGGGAGAGCTTTACGGCCAAATACGGCTCTATACTCGATACTTGGGGACGGGAGTGGCGCAAGGTCGATCTGACATGTCCGCCGAGGGCTGTGAATAAGGTATGTATGTTTCTTGCTCTGTTCCCTCCTGCTCTCCCCTCTTGCTCTTTCCTCCTGCCCTCCTCCTAATTCTTCTCAGCTCTCTCGCCGCAGACTCCTACAGAGGAGCTAGCAGAGCTAGCTCTAGGAGAGGGAGCTAGAAGAGTTGGAAGAGACAGCTCTCTCACTCACCCTCTGCTCACCCTCCGCTCGCTGTTCTGCCTCGCTCTATCGCTCGGCCTGCGGCCTCGCTGACGATAGATTCCCATCAAGCACGAGCAATACGACTCGGTCGTCGCGCTCCGGGACGCGCAGACGTACAAGGGCCGATTCTTCCTTGCGCGGCTGAAGCCGGGGCGTCTGCAGCGCTCGGGCCCATTCACAGACATGCAGCGCATGTATCGGGGCAAATTGGGGCTGGTGCTCGAGGCGCAGAAGCGGCACCGGGCCGCGACAGCGGCCGTGGTCTCGGGCTCGGCTTCGAGTGCTCTCGAGGGCGTCTCTGAGGGTGTCTCTGAGGTGTCGCCCGAGGTGTCGCCCGAGGTCGTTGGGCTGACGCCGGAAGGCTCGAGACTGGCATCGGCCTCTTCGGCCTCATCGGTTTCGGCGGCAGGAGGGGTCGCAGGTCCAGAGACAATGGCCGGCCTCGACCTCCCACCTCCCCGTGCACCATCCGAGCCCTCCATCTCCCTCACCATCGTCGCGAACAAGCTGCGCGTGTCAAAACTGGCCGTAGAGCGTCGCCACGCCATCAACCGTCTCCGCGCCGCATGGACGCACGTCATTTCCCATTCGCCCGTCGCCCCAGTCTCGACAGAGCACTGCTACTTCCTCCACGTAGCCGATGGGAGAGTGTATGACGCTGTGCCCTTCTGGGAACTGTGCGAGGAGGCCGAGAGGGCCATTACGAGCCTGGCGAGGGCTATTGTGGCCCGGGAGATGGGCGGGGAGAGACGCCGGAGTACGGGCGGAGGGGGGTATAGGAGGGCAGGAGGGGAGGGGAGGAACGCGGAGAGGAGGGATTTGGCCAAGAAGAAGCAGATCTGGAGGGGGACTGGTGTCCACTAGAACGTTCATTACATCTCATCGCATCGGAGCGAATGTTTTGCGGACTCGCGGCCTCGCTCCGCTCGTCTGCTCGCACACTCGCCCACTCGCCCACTTGCTCTATCACCAATTTGCATGTAAATCCATTACTTGATGTAACACCACTAAGAAACTTAGAAGCGGGACAGGTCGCGCCCAAAGAGGCCGCGCTTGACCCAGTCGAGCATGATCATGAAGCGCGTGCGCATGCTCGTCTGCTGGCTCCAGTAAATAGAGCGCCACGCATACATGGCCATGAGGCCTCCGGCGAGCGAGAATCCGTCGCGGTCAAACACGGCTGCGCTGCCGAGCGAAGCCAGCGAGCCGAGGTAGCGGTACTTGAAGGGGTGGAAGTAGGTCGAGTCGTCGCGCAGGTCCCACTCGGGGTTGACCTTGCCCTGCTCGGTCTTCTTCTTGTGTACCTTGGAGAGCTCGGAGAACATCTTGCCCAGGTACTCGCCCTCCTGCGATGCCACCTGTGCCGTGGCCGGGAGCGCGGTCACGCGCTTCGTCACCGTCATGAACATGTCGGCCGCCTCGTTGAGCGAGAGGTAGTTGTCGTGGTCCTTGTCGAACTCCTCGAAGACGTCCCGACTGGTTGTCAGCTAGGCACGGAATCAAGGAAGCTTACATCTTCTCCAGGTGCGAGCCGGCGAGCGGGTACTTCTTGCTCAGGTACTTGGCCATCCTCTCCCACTCGGCCATGTCGCTGTCATCAGCTAGCGTCCATGGCAAAGAGCTTACAGCTTGTTGTCCTTGTTCGTGTCAAACTTGTCCCAGAGCGAGAGCAGCTCGTTCATCATGCCGAGGTGGATCTAGTGTCAGCTGAGGGATAAGAAACGTTAGCTTACCGTGGAGGCATCGCCGATCGCGTACATCGTACCGAGCGGCGCGCCCTCGACGCGCAGGTAGCCGTCGACCTGGACCGCCTTGCTGTGGAACTGGTTCGGCAGCTGGTCGCACAGGTTGCGCGTAAAGTCTTGCATCGCTGATGTCAGCTTCGACCTGGGCAGAGGAGCTCACCGATACCCGTGCTCCAGAGCGTGAGGCCGGAAGGCAGGATCTCCGTCGACATCGTCTTGTCAGGACCCTTCAGCGTGATGATAACGCTGTCGGGGGTGATCTCGGAAACGCTGGGGTCAGTTACATCGAGCGATTCTCAACTCACCGAGCATTCGTGTGGACAGTGATCTCGGAACGGGCAAACTTCTTCTCGGCGTACTCGGAAATCTTTTCAGAGTACGTGTTCAGGATGTGGTCGCGCGACTGGATCAGAGAGATCGTGACCTCGTTGCGGAGAAGCTTGGGGTACTGCTGTCAGTTTCGCTCACGAGCTACGGGTAACTCACGTAGAGAAGAGCCTCTTCGGAGAGCATGTCGGCAACCTCGGCAGCGAACTCGACTCCGGTCGGGCCACCGCCACAGACAACAAAGGAGAGGAGCGTGCGGCGCTCCTCAGGGGTCGTGGTTGGGAGGGACGCCTCCTCGAGGTTGTCTGATGTCAGCTACTACAACCCAACGCGTCAGCTTACCCAGAATCTTGCGGCGGATGGCCTGCGCATCGCTGATGCGCTTCAGCTGGAAGGCGTTCTCGAGACCCTTGACACCATGCGTGTTCGACTTGGAGCCGACAGCCACAACGAGCTTGTCATAGGGGACGTAAGCCAGTTCGTATCCATCCTCGTCTTCCTTAGGAACCTTGACCTCGACAAGACGGTCAGTCATGTCGACATTGACAGCCTCTCCCGTGAGGAAGTGACCACGGCAGCGGGCGACGATACGACGAACAGGCTCGACCAGAGAGCGCGGCTCAACGGTTCCAACACAGGCAGAAGGCAGAAGCGGGGTGAAGCAGAAGTAGTTCTCGGGGCTGATGACGGTGACGTTGAAGGCGTTGGCGGGCAGGTGCTGCAGAACACTGACAGCCTGTGAATGTTAGCTCACAGCAAGCGGGGCAGCTAGACTCACGCCCCAGCCTCCACCGAGGATGACGAGACGCGGCTTGTCCTTCATGGCACGCTTCTGCTCATCTTCCTCGTCATCAATGTTGACCTCGATAATCGGCAAATTCTTGGGACCACCGCGACGGGGGTGCAGACTGAGCGGGTTGACCGGGACGCGTCCGACGTGACGCTCCGTGTACGTGGAGGCATCGTGGATTAGGAGGATTCCACCGACAACGAGGACACCGATAGCCGTTGAGATAGCGAGACGAAGACAGCCAGCGACCCACGGGTGCTTGCCGCTGAAATCCGGGTCGAGCTCGCCATGCTTCGAGTAGCGCCACTTGTGCTTCTTGTGCTGCTTTGTGAGCTTATCCGGGTCGCTGGGAATGTTCTGGGAGTCGATGCTCGGGGGCTGTGTCTCGGGGTTGTTGTCCTTGCCTGTTGTCGAGTTGAAACGAGCGTGGAGAGGACCGAGACGCGATAGCGTGGGAGCGGTTGATACAGGCGTGAAGCGGGGCACGACGCCGGCCACTGTTGGGCAGGCGCGGTTGTGCCTCGCAACCGCTGCAAGGGCGCGGATGCCAGCCTGTCCGCGAGGCAGCATGGCAAGTCGAGCACCGAAGGTGGGTTGGTGAGGATGGAAAGGAAAAGGAGATTTGGGCAACTGTAGCGACGACTTGCGGTGACAACGGCATGAAAACGGCCAATTTCCGCCAGCATCCACCACAGAAGGGCAGCGCCGTTGACGTCGTCTTTGCGTTTCAAAGGGCACCGGAAGGGCTCCGCGGCAGGGACGAGGGCAGTCAGTGACGTATTTATCCACCACGTGTAAGCCACCTGAAGGCGATTGTGATCGGCATCCACCGTCCGCCCAGAGAATTCTGCCGGGTCTGCTGTGGTGGCTGTGGAATGCGAGTACGAATGCTCTCGCGACCTCTGTCTGTTCGCCGACGGCCCAGCCATGGTCCGAGCTCCAGCATCGGCCTCTTTCAGCATCCCATCATCATCTCACCGACCACGGCGGGGGTCTCCGCAACGTCAACTTTCATTCAAGTAACCGGCAGCCGTCAACCTTAGCCTTTTGGGTGACTAACAGGACACACGACGCTAAACTGACGCATGACCCCTGTTTCGCGCCTTCCCCGCTTTGCGTCTCTTATCTCTTATAATCGTCGACTCCCATCCCTTCTTCCTTCCTTCTTCTCTCCTCGCTCCACTCCCACGCCACCCATGTACATTCCGCTTCTTTCCAGTTTCCCGGCGGCGACTCCTGGTACCCACAAGACCGTCGGTATCGCCTACGCTCGGGTACCCTGCGAGCCCTACGAGGTTGACTCGCCGACGATCGAGGGCAAGCCGGCGTTGAAGACGTCGGAGTGCTCCTTCGCTATCTACTACCCGTCGAGTGGCGAAACCGGTGGCGGTGTCAGCTGGCTACCGGAACCTACGTCGTCAGTGGTCGCCGGGTACGACAAGTTCTTGGGTGGCAAAGGCAAATGGCTGAGTACGTTGACTGATATATTCACGACTGACAGACAGTGGCGGCTTCTGACTTCATTGCTCGTAGACTTCGGGTGAGCTGGATCACCGACGCGGAGCTGACCACCAGATGACTCTGGCCCAGAATGGTGCAGTTGAGAAGGGCCAATACCCCCTCATCATCCTTAGCCACGGCCTCGCGGGGACGAGGCATACCTACAGGTGGGTGCGATGCTGCGATCGACAGCTGACCCAACAGCCAGACTTGCTCTGCACTGGCAAGCGAAGGCTACGTTGTCGTGGCTGTCGAGCACAAGGACGGCTCTGCTCCTTGCGTCATCTACCCAGAGGGCAAGAACACCGATGCCGCGTCGGCAGAGGAGCCGATGCTACTCTTCACTCGGTCGACGAACCTCACATGGCCGGAGGACGGTGCGCTAGAGCTGATGGACTTCCGAGTACTTCAGCTGCGAATGCGGGTGCACGAGATGCAACAGGCGTACAAGTCGTTCCAGAAGGTATTGAATGGCGCAGTTGTTCCGCAGGGGATGGACGCTGAGCAAGCGTCCGCCTTTTCGGATGCGCTCCGCGACAGTGTTGACATGTCCTCTGTCGTCCTGGCCGGGCACTCGTTTGGCGGTGCGACATGCCTGCGATCGTACGACAAGATGCCCGTTCCGGTGACACATGTGCTGGCCCTGGACCCGTGGTTCGAGCCGCTGATCCTCGGCGAGGAGAAGTACGGCTTCAAGTGGCCAAAGCCGCCACCCACGCTCGTCATCAACTCGCAGGGCTTCACCGAGTGGAAGGAAGTGTGGCCCGGAGAGAAGCGGATCTGTGCCACTCTCGGTGCGACGCTCGTCACGATTGGAGGTCTCGGGCGTAAGTTTAAGGCCGTGCTGTTCAAACTGACATCCAGACCAGGGCTTCTCCGACTTCCCGCTTATCACTTCGTGGCCATCAAAGGCATTTGGCAATCTCGCACTCATCCACAAGCTCAGCATGGCCGAGCTGAACGGAGACCTGCCCGAGCTTCTGCACGAGATCGGCAAGCGGGAAGTGTTCAAGGAGGGTATCCTCGAGGGCGCCCCGTTCGAGGTCATCGTGCACGACACACCAGAGCACGAGTCGGCGGACCAGGATCCGACGCCGGCTTCGCCGCAGCTGAGATTGCAGCGCACCCTCTCCCAGCAGTCAAGGGAGGGCGAGCCGTCCGCCGTTCCCACAGAAGGCAACCCATAGCTCCTTCCGGTTCTCGCTTCTTCCTATTTCCCAGGGACATAGTCCAAGCGTCATCACTGAACGCTAAGTAGTCTAGATGTTACATTACACAGAGTTACATGTTCATGAGAGCCTCCTCGTCGTCCGCGGGGTCAACGTCCATCTCGCTCGCGTTCGCGCCGCCCGCGCGAGCCTTGCGCTTCTTGGCGGACGGCCGCGCCTTCTTCTTCGGCTTGGTGTCTGTCGACGGTTTTCGTCCCGAGATATGCAGGACAATCTCAACCGACGACTGTTTGTCAGCTTATCCCTACAACGGTAGCTCACCTTATTCCGCGTCTGAATCTCAGCCTTGTCCTCCACAAAGAACCCGAGGTCTCCCCAATCCTCCTCCCCCGGCTTCCCTCCTTCGTCTTCCTCCTCCTTCCCTCCCTCGGCATCCATCGCCTCCACGCCATTAAGCCCCGAACGCTTCCCCGGAATCTCGTCCTTGCATTCCGTCGTCCCCGTCCGGATCTCGAACCACATGCCCGCCCGTCCCGGCCCGGCAATTGGATAAGGCAGAATGTCCATGAGCGCATGTAGGAGGACGAAGGTGTGGCTGATTGCCGCGCCGAGGGCATAGAGCTTCAGTTCCGTAGCGCCCTCGTCGAGGACGAGAGACTTGGCCCTCGCGATGAGTGCGCCCAGCTTCGTGCGCCGCGTCACGAAGAGCGTCGTTCGTGGATGCCCCGGGTGCGTACTGTCGGACCGCCGCGTGCCCTGCCCTTGCAAGACTTTTATCGGCTGCTGGGCCAGGAAACCCGCACCGGGTTCTGGGGGAGGCAGGGCGGGCTTCAGCTTGACGACCTTGCGGGAACGCGTGGCCGGCATTGTGTCGAGAAGAGTCGTCGAGGGTGTTTGTTGTTGTTGTTGTCGAGAGTCGACCAATTTCGGGCGTCATGAAATCTGGTCGTCCTCCACTCCTGCCCTCCACTTGACCCTAATCCTCTCCAGTCCCAATTACGGAGCATCCCTAATGGGCATTAGGCCGTGAGATTACAAGGTCAATTCCCATTGCCACGCGACGCCGGGCCACCCAGCGCTCAGCGCCGACCAAGTAATGACGCGACCCCCGCCGTCAGCTTGCAACAACACAAACCATGTCCGCCCCGGGGAAGCAGTACAAGGCCATCGGCGACGATGTCTGGAAGCGGACAGATAAGGTCGTAAGTAGCCACTAGCTCCCGGAAGAGCACGTCAGCTGACATAAGAACGCCGAGCTCTTCTCGCTCACGTACGGCGCCCTCGTCGTCCAGCTCATCAAGGACTATGAGGACTATGGCGAGGTGAACAAGCAGCTGGAGAAGATGTAAGTTCAGTCTTACTGCTGGTTTGCTAGTGCGCGGTTGTCTCTGCCATCCTTTTGGGTCGCCGAGACATGGCTAGCACTCACCGTGCTCAGACCACAGCACTGCCAGCCTGCTCAGCTTCGCGATTGTTTGTGGATAAGCTAACCCCACAGGGGCTACAACATCGGCACGCGGCTGATCGAGGACTTCCTCGCGCGGACGGGTCTGCAGCGCTGCCAGACGTTTGCCGAGACGGCCGAGGTCGTGAGCAAGGTCGCCTTCAAGACCTTCCTCAACATCACGCCGACGGTCTCCTTCCCTCCCCCGCAGGTGCCGCCGACGGCGGGGCTGAAGCAGCCGTGCGAGTTCGTGCTCACGCTCGAGGAGAACCCGCTCGCCGAGTTTGCCGAGCTGCCGCGTGACGCACGCGAGGGCGGGCTGTGGTTCTCCAACGTGCTTGCTGGTGTGCTTCGGGGCGCGCTCGAGATGGTAAGTTGTGGGAGAAGCTGAGGAGGCAAGGTGATGGAGCTGACAACATCAGATCCAGATGCAGGTCGAGACGCGTTTCCTCTCTGACGCGCTGCGCGGGGACGACACAACAGAGCTCTGGGTCCGCCTCGTCCGGATTCTGGACGAGGAGCAGCCCGAGAACGACGAGTAGACTTGTGATTTCTGGATACCGGTGTGTAATGCATATACAACAACATATCTATCGACGCGACGTGTGCGACACGTTGGACACGGTCGCGCTGATGTTCGTGACCTCGCTCCCGCTCCCCGAGCTGTCTTGCCGCCGGTGCGTCTGGTCCCACCCCCGCACCGTCCGCACACTGTCGTTCAGGGCGGGGTGCTGCTCCTTCAACGTCTGCTCGTTGTCTTCGTAGATGCTCTCGATGCCGCTCACAGCCCGTCCTTCTCGATCAAGCTGCGTGCCGTTGCCGAGTGTCCCGCGGCGCCGCCTGAGTCGGCCAGCTTGGCTGACACTCGGTCCACGCTGGAGCGTCGGGCGGGTAGGCGCCGCAGAGCCGTTGCCCGAGTCAATGGACGAGGCGTTGGAGTGCTGGCGCTCGGGTGCGGGTCGTTGCTCTTGCCGTTGTCCGGCGACAGCCATCGACCATCTGACTGCGCGGCCGAGCTCCTCCACGCTCTCCCGTGTCTCCTCGTCCCGGAGGTGTGCCTCGTGCGGGCTCAAAGTTGGGAAGAAGCTCGAGTACCGCGCCTGCGTGCTCAATACGAGCGACATCTGGAGCAGCCGCTGAAGGTCTGGCCCACCGTCCTCGGTCTGAATGGCCGCGACCAGGGGTATCAGACGAGGAAGCAGGGGCAGCAGAATGTGTAAGAGGAAGGCGGAGAGCAGAATGTGCCGCACAGGGATTGGCGGCTCCTGGATGATCGCTGCGGGGCGCGCCGTCGAGCTGGAAGGCACATCCCGGATCTGGGAGAAGGGAAGGAAAACGCCTTCGACGTACTGAAAGTCAGCTGTGGAAGAAGAGGCCAGCTTACAGGTAGAATCTGGCCCCAGAAAAAGTTCCACACCTCCGCTGTCCTCGACACGAGCTTGTTTTCCTCAAGTCCGTCAAACTTGGCTTTCAGAGTGAACATGCCCGAGGCAATGAGGTCCCTCAGATCACTCGTCAGTACATGGACTAGTCTTGAGGCTGGCGTGCGCTGCGAGGCCGAGGAGATATGCGAGCTAGCGAGATGACTGCGTGTTAGCTTCAGGGCGGCAGTTTCTCAGCTCACTTTAAATCTTCTATTGGGGTGCGTAACGGGCTCCCCGCAAAGACAGGCAGCACATGAACTGTCAACAAGCTCCATGGCGAGTTTGGGCTGGAGTGAGCAACGGCATGCATCATGCTCGTGCTCGGAGCCGGGTCACGCTCCGGCCTTCCTCCATTGTCGCCCGTCGCCAGCGTCGTTCCGTCAGGCAGGACGAGAACTCCACCGGCGCTCGAGCTCGGCGGAGAGGCAGAAATGTACCGCGTGGGGAGGTTGGGCAGACTGGCGGGCGCCAGACTCTTCTGCGGACTCGTGCTCGGGATGCTGAACGCTGCTGTTGACGTCGCTGAGACACCACTCGGTGACCGCGGTGGGATGGGGGGTAACTGCGAAAGCGTGGACGAGACCTGCGCGTTAGATATACCCCGACTCCCGCGTATCTTCCTGGCAGCTGGGAACCACACACGTCCCACACACACACAGCGGTGCGGAGAAGGTGCAACGCCATTGTCAATCCGGTCCACTCACCAGTTTGTTGTCGTACGCTCCTAACACCCATTTCCGCTTAGGCAGCCTTGGGAGTTTCTTGTCGCTCCAGAAACTCGACGCGCCCACGCTAGGGGCTAAGCTGTGGGTGTCGGATCTGTCGACGTTGACGCTGAGATTCGGGCGGGCCGAAGACGGCCCACTAATGTTCGTGCCATGGTTTGTGTGGATGGCGAGGTTTGCCAGCTTTGTCGGAGTCGGCGGGGCCATTGTCCTACCCGGGTGGAGACACGACGACGACGGCGGCGGAGGCGGGTCAGGATGTGGTGGCTGCGGTCGCCGCTTTGGTTGCTGTTGTTGCAGTCGCGGGGGTAGTGGTCGCGGTTCGTCGAACGGATGGTGAAGACGGCAGCTGCCGAGCAGGACCCAGCCTAGCGGTATTGGAAGCCAGCCTAGGACGCGCGACGACGTCACGTTCACGTGGTCTCTGCCCTGTTTCATGGCGGATTGATTGATGAGGCTCACGACACACCAACAAATGTTGACTTCTCACTCCCCCCGACAGCGCGCGGCATCAACACCATGGCCGACATCAAGTCTTTGAAAGTGACGGAGCTGAAGGAGGAGTTGAAGAAACGGGGCCTCGTCACGACAGGCCTCAAGAAGGACGTGAGTACAAGCCGCTCAGGAGCCAAGCGTACCTGTGAGGCACACAACCGCACACAGACAGGTTGCAGCACCCAAAGCCGCGTCCAACATCAGTGCACACGGTGCAGGTGTTCGTGCGAGAGCATGGAACTGTGCACGTTTCGCTTGGCGGTACACAGACGGAATGCAACGCTGACATCCTAGCTCGTGGAGCGCCTCGAGGCCGCCATTGCGGCCGAGCCATCAGAGCAACAACCTCCACCTCCACAGCCGGCTGAGCCTCCTGCTGTCCCTGCAGCCCCAGAACCTGCGTCGACTACGACAGAACCTCCTCAACCTCAGTCATTGCCGCAAGAGGCAGCGAAGCCGTCACAGCAGCCAGTAGAAGCTCCAACAGAGCCCGTCAAGCCTGAGGAGCCCCCTACTGCTCCCCCTGCCGCCGTTCCTGTCGAGCCCTCACCAGCACCTGTCGCTAAGGAGGACCCCACACCAGTCCAGGAGCAGCGACCGCCATCACCCCCACCCGAGGACATCCAGGTGGACGAGGAGCCCCCGAAGCCTCCTCCTGCAGAGGCACAGCCTGCAGCGCCCATCGAAGTCGACAGTAAGCCCGCAGAGCCGACACGCAAATCGCCGTCGCCAGCCCGCTCCGACCGAGAGGGAACCCCGCCTCCCCCGTCGCGCAAGGAGAAAGCCGAAGCGATGGACATAGACGACGCTCCCTCTTCCTCTTCCTCCGGCCCGCGCCCTTCGTCGGCATTATACATCACAGGCCTGCGACGACCACTACAAGCAACAGCTTTGGCGTCCTACCTCTCCTCGCAGACGGGCACGGGAAGCTCGGACGACGACTACGACCCGCCCGCCATAAAGGGTTCGCCGCCCTTCGTCTCGCCCTCCTGCCCCAACCTCTGGCTGAGCGGGATCAAGGACCACGCGTACTACCGTACCTGGTCCATCAGCGCCGCGTCCGCGATCAAGGCCGCCGTGGACGGGAAGAAGTGGCCCGAGGGCGACGTGAATGCCGGCACGCTGCATGTCGAGTTCATCCCGGACGCTAAAGTCAATGACTTCGCACAGCAAGAAGAGGACGGATGGCGCAACGGAAGGCAGAGGTTCGAGCTCGTCCAGGACCAAGAGGGGTGTCGGCTCCAGCCGTTTGGGAAGCTGAAGACAGGCCCGCCGCCGCCCGAGCCCGCTGGTGCTGCTAGGGGCCTGTTGGGCCGTCTCGGCGAGAGAATGGGTCCGGCAGGTCGGCCGCCCCGCGGAGGCGTCAATACCGTCCCGATCAGGGGGAGGGGAGGCGGTCCCGGCGGCCCGATGCGGTGGACGCGCGCGCGGCCGAGTCTGTCCTGGTCGACGGGGCCGAGAGCCTAGTTTGTATGTTACTTGGGGTAGATGCAAATTCATAATGTTATGTTATCTATTGTAAGAGATCACAGCGACGTCTAATGGTTCCACTGCTGTTGCTGCTGCTGCGGCTGGTACAGGCTCGAGGGCACGCTAGGGGGCGGCGTGTACCAGCTCTGGCCGTGAGGCGGGGTCTGCGCCGCGGCGCTGTACTGCGCATGCAGGATTGAGAAGGGGTCGGACGGGTTGCTGGATCCGCTGCCACGGTGGGCGTGGCCCGACACCGAGTCCTGCCTCGGCGGCTCGGGGGTGCCGTAGCTGCCTTGGTGGGTCGGGGTGTTGTACGCGCTGCTGCTCGGGTGCTGGGGCGTGCCGTAGTTGCTACCTGCGGCATGCGTGGGAGTGCTGTACGCACTGCCCAACTGGCCGTAACTCGGCTGGCTGTAGCTGTTGGGCGTGCCCTGGTTCTGGGGGGTGCCAAACTGGGGAGGAGGAGGGGGCGGGCCCACACCAAAGGCGCCAGGCTGCGACTGCTGCTGGGGTGAACCGCCGTAAGCATGCTGCTGCGAAGGGGGCGTCTGAGGAGCCCCGCCGCCTCCTAGGCTGCCCAGGTAGTTGCGCCAGTCGCGGTTGCTCGTCATCGTAGAGGTACGGGCAGGAGAGCCGCCGGGCATCGTCGGGGGCGGGGCGCCTTGAGTGTGCGCAACATGGATGGTGCCGATCGTGCTGGGCTGAATAGTGCTTTTCCAGCCCTCGGGCGCAGCTGTCTGCGCCGGGTTAAAGTCCGTTCCCTGCTGCGCATAGTTAAGCGTGTGAGACAGAGGCTGCGGAGGATTGTAAGGCTCGGGGAGAGGACGCGGAGGCGGGGGAGGAGCCGGCGATACAGAGTTCTGACGGTGGGGTGCCGGGGAGACCGACGCGTGGCGCGAAGGGGGCTGAGGCGAGGGCGATCGCTCAGGCTGATGCGGCGGAGCGTACAATGGTTGCGGCGGCGTCGGGAGTGGAGGCATACCATGCTGACCGGGCTGCTGCTGCTGCTGCTGAACGAACGGCTCGTCGCTGGGATAGTATCCTCCGTTCGGGTTCTTGGGCGGCGCCGGAGGGAGGGGAGGCGGCTGGGAGGGCGAGTTTGCAGTACCCGGAGTCTGCATGTACCATGGCACATATCCAGCAGAATTAGGCGTGGGCACGCTGTGCTGTGACGCGGGTGTCGGCGGCACTGGAGAATGTCCAGCAGGTGAAGACACTCCTTGGGGAGGTTGAGCTGGGCTACCATACTGTGGGTACGGCGATGGCGACGGAGCGGGTTGCGACAGACGACGAGGCGGCGGTGGAACAGATGGTGTGCTGCCTGGCGTTCCAAGATGAGACTGCCCACTGTAGGGAGGGTTAAATTGAGGGGGCAGTGCAGGCGGCTGTGGAGCAGGCGCCGGCTGGGCCGGCTGCGATGGAACAGACGCGTAAGCGGGGTGCTGCTGCTGTGGAGGCGTATACGGTGCCTGCGCAGGCTGGAACTGAGGATAAGCAGCCGGTTGCTGATAGGCAGGTTGAGGTGTATGGGCCGGGGGAGGAGGCTGCTGCTGAACTGGCAGCGACGCATACGACGTGCTGGGCGGGAGGCTGTTCGAGTGAGCCGGAGGCGCTGGGACCGGAGCACCTCCTGAATCGACACGGTTGTGGCCGACACTTGCAGGCCGATGGGGGCTCGGAACTGGAGGTGTCAGGACGTTGCCTCCCGCTACAGTCGGAGGAGTGGCGATCATCGAGTGACGGTGATCCTGCCGCGTAGCGGGGTTCAGGGACATGCTCATCATGCCACCAGCCAGCGCATCAACGCCACCGTATGAAGTCGAGTGCGGCAAACGATGCTGGCCGCCTAAAGTCGAAGCAGCAGCTGCCTGACGCGCAGGTAAACCGAGCTCGGCGAAGCTCTGGGAGGACGGGATGCTCGGCCTTTGTGTCGGCTGTCGTTGAGGCTGAGGCTGAGGAGTCGGGCTGGGTTGCCGGGCCGGCTGTCCGTACGGGGGAATGTACAGGTTCATGCCCGACACACTCGTGGGCATGCGCGAGGATCTCACAGGGCCTGTCGCGACGGCAGGTCGAGGAACGTCGCGCTTCACAGGAGGTGCAGCCTGCAGTTAGCTTTAAGCGCACTCTTATGCTTACATTGGAGTAGAACGTCAGTTCCAGATAGACCTCTCCGCTGTACTTGTCCTTGTGAGTGATCTCATACCACTCTGAGCCTCAGTCAGCACGGTGCATTGAGGGCGATGGTCATGGCGGGGTGCTCACCGTCGATTTCTCCCTTTTGAAGCACGTCGTCGATCGAGACCAGTGCTTCGCCGATGATCTCAGGCTCCTTCGGATCATCGGCGTAGCAGGCGATCCGCATTGTCTTCTTAGCTTTCTTCTTCGGCGCACTGCCTGCAGGTACGCCCTTGCGGCTGATGTTCGCCAGCGACTGCGGCGTAACTACGCCCTGCTCGGGAGGAAGAGGCGGAAGTTCATCGCGCTTCGACTTGGAGGTGTTGTTCTTCTGGGTCGACTCTAGAATGTCGTCTAGGTCCTCTTTGATAGTGAATCGGAGCTCCTCGTCCCACTCTGGGTGCTGACCACCGCGCTTGATCGGCTTCGTCTTCTGCTTCTCTTGCGCTACAGTGATCGTGCAGAATGGGTCTTGCTTGCCGAACCGCGACTTGTTCGGGAGATTGCGCTAACGTCAGCGCGTTCGTTGGACACAGAGCGGTAGCCGATCGCCAAGCTGGCACTGGTGTAGTAGCACGTTTGGGATGACGTCCGCCCAGTCGGGAATGTGTACTCACCGCTTTGCCGACCACGACAATGAGCGTCCCAAGGTCTTTGGGCTCAGCCGCCGACATCTTGCCAGAAGCAGGGAAGGCGAACTGAGGTGTAGAGATGAAGAGGGGACAGAGCCTAGAATCGGCTAGGCAATCGAGCTCGCTTTAAGCTGTTGCTGTTGATCGGCGGGGTACAGCTCAGAATGAAAACAACAGCGGAGCGGAGCGGCGATTGTTCAGGTTTCGATGAGAATGGGTCTGCGTATCTGGCGGCTCCAAATGTCACAAACAACACTTGTTCTAGAGATGAGACGCCTTTGACTGGCTGACTGGTCGAGTCGAATGCAAGGGAGAAGTGAGGGAGAGTCCGAGGTGCAGAGGCCTAGCTAGCGCTCCTGGCGTCTAGGGAGGAAGAAGCAAGCCGAACGTGTGTCCGCCGAGGATATGCGGTCGGGTGTTGCAGTGAGGAAAAGAAAGAGCTGGTCGAAGAAGAAACTTGATGCGAAGCTTTGAGAAAAGGCAAGAGATGAAGAAGGGGTGAGAGAGGATGGGATTGGGTTGTGTCCTGGGATGGAGACGGAGGACTGCAGGAGAGCAAGGTGCGGTGATGTGTTGTATTCGTGTCAGGAAACAAGGATCAGGCGCAGGCGCTTCAGGCGCGTCAGGCGCCGGGCAACAGGCGAGCAGCACTCCAGTCCAGTCAGGGCGCAGGGTGCGCCTGCACGGATAGCAAGCCACCTCCCAAACATTAAATCATTAGACCGCTTCCTTATTATCGCCCTGGCTCCGACTATTATCGACCATTACAACACCCCCAAACGACGTCACAAACGAGGCACACATTCAGGTCGCCTCGCGTGTCCACGGCCTTCGGGCGCGGCGACAGCGAGCGACGACACTAGCTTTATCGCCCACGTTCACATCGATCGATCTAAACATCGCTAGAGCGCTCAACTGTCCGCGATATGAGGCCCGTATCGGCTGGGGCTCCTGAGCTCCTGAACACTAGGCTGACGTCGAGGAATCAGGGATTGCTGCCTCTGGGCCTTGGACATTAACGAACCTCTGCAGGTCGCCTCGAGCTCCTTCTAGTTGACGTTTGCTGTTCCACGGACAGGAACAATGTAGACGAAGTCTCCAACGTCCAACGGCTGTACTTCGCTTGCGCATCTCTTCAATGCTTGCAGGTTTGCGGCATATGAAGAGATATCCGGACCCCAAGTCCAGGGTAAGCCCCTCTGACTCTGGCGCTGGCGGACTTGTGACCTCCGTAGCATCTGTGCACGGGCAGTCGGGCAGTCAAGAAGAGCTACACGAACGTTAGTGAGCAATATAACTTGAATCTGCATACGTCAACTGCGCAGTGTCTGGCAGTTCTCGTCCTCGTTTTCGTGCTCGTTCTCGTTCTCGAAGTGCTAAGCTAGGTCGGCTCAGGAGCGATGAATGTGGCTTCATCGGCCACAAACAATCGGGCGCCGGGTAATCCGGTGCGAGACGGATTTTGCGGGCAGATGTTCGAAAGCGTACCTCGTCCATCCTGGTAGCGGAGCTTGCACTGCTGTACACACATACACGATACCTATGATCTCTATGATGCTTTTATGATGCACAGAACGGCTGTTGATACCCCAGACCACTGAGACGACAGTACGACAGACCGGGCAACGCACCAAATAGTCAGTCGCGTCCGTGGCCCAATCTGATTCCGAGGTGGAGGCTGTACGCGTCAACCGTCATATCGAAATGACGAACCTGAAGCCATCCTCACGACCACTACACCGACCCCATGCCGCCGTCAGCTTCGCCGAGGCGCAAGAGCCAGGACTCGAAGGCGTCCCAGTCCAAGGCGTCTGGAAGTGGTGACATTAGAGGCTTCGTGAGTTCGCTGGACAGGGTTCGACGCGATTGTTGTACTATGACGCGCTTTGAAGTTTTGGCCACCGGTTCCAAGTGCGAGAAGATGAATTGCTGACGATACCAGTTCGGCGGAGCGTCTGCGAAGAAAGCTACACCGACTAAGAAGACGGGGACGACTGACACTCCTATTCTTATTGGTAAGACGGCGTTTCCTTGCGCGACTGACCACGAGACTCGAGCGACGATGAGGATGTCAAGGTGAAGCCGCAGAGGTAGGTCAAGTCCAAGGTTTCACATCTGACGAGTTCAGGCCCAAAGCAACGACGAGCAAGCACTTCCCAGCTGCTTCTTCATCGGTAAGCACATTAAGCACACCAGGATACCGGCTGCATAGAGCTAATGTGTGTAGAAGCGTCCCATCGCGATCGACTCTAGCCCTGAACCCGAGGTCAAGAAGACCAGGTCTTCCCCGCGCAAGACCGCAGCTAAGCGGAAGTCACCAGAAGACAAAGAGGACGAGCGCCCTGCTAAGAGGGTTGTGAAAGAGGAGAAACCGTCAAAGAAGATCGTGGGTTTCAGCTGTAGGGAAGACGCTTACGATCAGCTTCTCAGTAGTGACGAGGAGGACGAGGAGCCGAAACCCAAGGCGGTACCAAAGACGAAGACGCCAGCCAAATCTGCGCCCCAGAAGAAGCCGCAAATCGTAAGTTAGAGCGAATTGCATTGCAGGCCACTGACTTTCAGCTTCTGGAGTCCGACAGTGAAGAGGAAGAAGCTCCTAAGCCGAAGGCGAAGAGCAAGGCGAAGCCTGCTTCCAGGTCCAAGTCACCGGAGAAGAAGCCTGACGCCAAGGGAAAAGCCAAGGCTAAAACGGATGACGAGGACGAGAAGCCGAAGCCCAAGTCCAAGTACGTGCCTTCATACTTCAAACCTCTGACCGCGCAGCTTCCGCCAGTACATGCAGAATAAGGCTGCGGGCCCTCGCAACCCGGGTTCCAAGGACATCCCTGAAGGCAAGCCGGACTGCCTGGCTGGTCTGACTCTGGTCTTCACCGGCGAGCTCGAGTCTCTTGGTCGCGACGATGCCATCGAGATTGCGAAGCGATACGGAGCGTGAGTGCGGGGTTCTGGGTGTGAGGCTGACAGACCAGCAAGGTCACCGGGGCGCCATCGAAGAAGACCAGTTACGTAGTCATAGGAGACAACGCTGGCCCGTCTAAGCTGAAGAAGATCAAGGAGATCGGCACGCCGACTTTGGACGAGGACGGATTCCTCGACCTCATTCGAAACCGCGATGAGGAGCCTGACGAGGCTACACTGAAGAAGAGGGAGAAGGAGGAGAAGAAGATCAGGGAGGCTGCTGCGGAGATGGAGAAGCAAGAGAGGGAAGAGGAGAGATTGCGCAAGCGGAAGGAAGCCGCGCTCGGTAAAACTGGCGTCGCTACAAAGTACGTTGCACCATTTGACTTCCGCTAACCGTCCAGGAAAACAGTCCCAGCCTCTGCCCAGCTCTGGACCACGAAGTACGCACCCAAGAACGTCAAGGAGATTTGCGGAAACAAGGGACAGGTCGAGAAGCTGGGCGAATGGCTGGCCAATTGGTAAGTTGTCTTCCCTGCATAAAGCTGATCTGTCAGGCAAAAGAACTACAAGTCAGGCTTCAGGAAGCCAGGCAAGGATGGCTCTGGGTTATACCGAGCAGTTCTTATCTCTGGCCCTCCAGGTATCGGCAAGACGACTTCTGCGCACATCAAAGCCCTCGAATCGGGCTACTCACCTCTCGAACTCAACGCAAGTGACACGCGCAGCAAGAAGCTCATTGAGAATGCGACCAACATTGACAACACGTCGCTCGACGGCTACTTCGCTGGGAAGGGAGTCATGTCCACGACGGTCACGGGCATCGATGACCTCAGCTCTCGCACTTGTCTTATCATGGACGAGGTCGACGGCATGTCGGCTGGTGACCGTGGCGGTGTCGGAGCCTTGAACGCTCTCATCAAGAAGACCAAGGTAAGCTAGGTATGTACAGCTAGCCTGACCTCAGATTCCTATCATTCTCATCTGCAATGACCGCAACCTTCCGAAGATGAAGCCGCTCTGGGGCACGACGGCCAACATGGCTTTCCGAAGGTAAGGAAAACAATGTCAACCGTGACTGACTCTATAGGCCTGGACCCCTCGAGATCCGTGCTCGCATCCTCTCCATTCTGCACAAGGAGAAGCTGAAGATCCCTACGAACGTCGTGGATGAGCTCATCAAGGGCACTGGCTCCGATATCCGACAGGTCCTCAACATGCTGTCCACGTACAAGCTCGGCAAATCGGAGATGAACTTCGATGAGGGCAAGGAGCTGCTCAAGCTGAATGAAAAGAACACGATCATGACCCCGTTCACCATCATCGACAAGCTGACGGGCCCGTACTCCTTCTCGAGGACAAGCAAGGACACGCTGAGCGACCGCATGGAGATGTACTTCCACGACTTCTCCTTCGTGCCCTTGTTCATGCAGGAGCACTACCTGAAGACCAACCCCGCGGTCCTAAACAACCTCGACGGACCAGAGAAGGACATGAAGAACCTCGAGCTCATTTCAAAGGCCGCAGACTGGATCTCGGACGGCGACCTCGTCGACAAGATGATCCACGGCGGCGAGCAGCACTGGTCACTCCTTCCCCTCCACGCCGTCACATCAACCGTTGCGCCTGCGTACAACATTTACGGCACAAATCGTGCGACTCCGGGCGGCGGCTGGGGTGGACCTTCCTTCCCTCAGTGGCTCGGCCAGAACTCGAAGCAGGGCAAGCTGCAGCGCGAGCTGACAGACATTCAGATCCGTATGCGTCTGCGCGTGTCTGGTGGCCGCGACGAGATCCGACAGCAATACATGCCCCTACTCGCCAACAAGCTCGTGACTCCGCTCATCGACGACGGTGCGGACGCGATCCAACCGACGATCGACATGATGGACGAGTACTACCTGGGCAAGGACGACTGGGACGCCTTCGTCGAGCTCGGCGTTGGCGAGATGCAGGAAGACAAGATCCTGAAGAAGATCCCGTCGGCCGTCAAGTCGAGCTTCACGCGCGAGTACAACAAGCGCGACCACCCCATTGCCTTCCACCGCGCGGACGCTTTCGCCGCCAAGGCAGCGGCGAAGAAGATCAAGGACGAGCCCGCGCCGGACAACGAGGAGGTGTTCGAGGAGGACGAGGTCCCGCCCGAGGAGCCGGACGAGAAGAAGGAGGAGGCGGAAGAGAACGACTACACCAAGGACAAGCTCATCAAGGCCGTCAAGCCCAAGGGCGCCAAGGGCAAGGCCGCTGCTGGCAAGGCTACGACCAGCAAGGCGAAGAAGAAGTAAACCTGGCTCAACACACACTGTTACCCATAGAGCCAGCCTATAAAGACAGCAGTGTGCTACGCATACGACCAACATACCCACCTCTCGGTACCACATGTAATATAAGGTTCTGTTTCTGCATTGTGTGAATAATTGACTGTTAATACATTGAAGTTATAGGCGGGTGCGGTGCACAGTGTCAAGTTTCCATGGCCAGCATGAGGCTATGTCTAGTTACAGGGTTAGGCAGAGTACGACTTGCCCGCGATCCAGGCAAAGTCGGCCGCCTGCTCGATATCGTCGTACTTGGCGACCTGGGTCCAGTTTCCGTTCTGCTCAGCATAAATCGCAATGCCCTTCTCAATACCAGCGAGGGCGAGGAAGTCACCATGGGGCGAGAACTTCATGCCGCGGATATTGTTGAGGTGCGTGTCGACAAACCTCTTCCCAGCGACCGCCCTACGGTCCGCTGAGAGCGTGAGGATCGTGACCGCGTCGCCAGTGACGTTCGGGTTGGACTTGGCGGCAAGGCGGTTCGAGACGAAGAGCTGCGACGCATTGCGCGGGTTCTGCATGATCTCGCCCGCCGCCATGCCCGTAGCATTGAGGCCGGGGGGGATCACGGATTCCTCGAACAGGGGCTTGGAAGGCGAGTCGAGCTCGAACGCGGCCACCTTGTTCGACAGCTCGCCGACGACGTACAGGATCGCACTGCGCGGCTTGGTCGCGTTCGTGCCCGGCGTGACGAGGGTGGGGCTGGCGCGGGGCGCGAGCGCGGCAGACTTGACGGCGGACCCAGCGGCAGAGGGGGTGGAGATGGGCGAAGCAGAGGCGGAGGAGTCGTTGGAAGGCAGGCTGGGCGCGGCGGGCGTCTCGTCTGGCTGGATCACGACCATGTGGCGCGGTCCGAATCCCTTCGGCGTCTGGATACTTCCCTCGAGCGTCAGCGAGCCGTTAGCCCAGCGCGAGATCCAGATACGGTCGCTGCCCAGGTCGGCCGTGTAGATCTTGCCGCCGTGCACGAGCGAGGAGTGCGCGCGGCTCTGGTCCTGCGGCGCAGTGCCGTTAGGGTACGTCGCGTTGAAGCGCAGAGTGACCGCCTTCCCGAACGACCGGCCCTCCGCCGTTCCAGCCGCGAGAGCGCCAGCGAGCGCAGAGCCATTGCCACCCGCGGGCGAGGCAGGCGCGGCAGCTGCGGCAGAGCCGTTGCCAGACGTAGCGGTCGAGTTGCTGATGGGAAGGGTGGTGTTAGCACCCGTCTCGCGCAGCAGGGGGATGTAGCTGATGGTGCCGTTGGAGTAGCTCGAAGAGATCAGGCCGCTGCAGTCCGGGGTTGTCGTCACTGGCATTAGCTCAAGAAACGCTGAATTAGCTCACAGTGCACCGGGTCGCCGCCGACGGAGACCTGCTCCAGAATTCTGAGGGTGTTGTTCGTGAACGAAAGACGGGTCACGACGTTGGCCGCGCTCTCCGCCGCCGCGAACAGGCCGCACTCGGTCTCAAACCAAGTCGGGTTCGCGGGGTGTGCGACCGCTCCGTCGAACTTGAGGCCCGTAGCATTAGCAGCCGAGGGGAGCGTCGCAGGGAGGGTCGAGTTGCCCGCCGGGGGCAGAGTCGAGTTGGCCACAGAGGTAGTCGCCGCCGGGTCGAACGTGAACACGCTGATGTTGGAGAAGTAGCCCCCAACCAGGAGGGTGTATTGCGTGATGTTGCGCATTGTTTTGGGCGAGTGAAAGGAAGGAAGGGGGAGGGATGATCTGACCTTTCTTGCACCCATCCCACTCTTTAAACTGTTGTGCTCAACGCGACGCGCGATTCACGGCGCTGCGGCGGATCGGGACCGAGCGCTCGGCGGGCACGCGGGGGCGCGGCGCCGCAGGGATTGCATGGAATCTACGGTGACGGTGTGAACGCCGAGCAACTGCAAGGGGTCTGGTGCTGTGCAGAACTGTGCAGAACAGGGAGAAAGGGGCGCTAATCACCTGCCTTGTGTGACATCGCCTTTGATTTTCAGGGATCACCCCACATGTCAATGTCGTCTGGCCAATGTTGGTCTCCGCGCGTCGCCCGCAGATCGATCCCTGCCAGCTGTTCTTCCCCCAGATTCCTTGCAATTGTCCCGTCTCGCACTTTGCTATTCAGTCAGATCAGCAGAACTGGCAACAAGCTCACAACACTTGAACTTGAGCAAAACCGAGTTGCAAAGCTAATCATATAATACATGTTCACGTGGTCTACGGGTCAACTGCCATCGCTTCGTCCTCCTTAGGCGCCTCGGTCGATGTCTCCGCCGTCGTCTCAACAGCCGTAGGGGCGGGCTCTTCCGCTCCCGCCGCAGTGGCCGGCTCCGCAGCCGTTTCAGGAGCGGCGACCTCTGCCTCAGCGGACGCAGACGGAGCAGCAGAGGGCTCGGCCGGGGCGGCAGCCTCTGCAGACGCCTCAGTAGCGACCTCAGCAGCAGGCTCGCTCGAAACAGGAGCGTCCGCCTGCTTCTCCTCCTCGGGGGCCACCGCGGCAGGCTGAACATCAGGCTCGGTAGTTACGGGGACAGACGACACCTCGGCGGCAGGCGGGGTTGGCTCGGCTGGCGTCTCCGTTGACTGAGCAGCAGAGGGCTCGGCAGACGGCTCAGTGGCCGGGGCGGCGGGCACGGACTCTGCGAGAGCTGTCTCAACAACCACAGGTGCGGAAGATACTGCTTCGGTGGCAGCGAGTTCAGAAGCAGCTGGCTTTTCCTCCTCGATAAGGGTCTCGGTCATGACAGCGTCGACAATCGCGGGCTCCACCGCCGCCACTAGTTCCGTCTGTGCCGCCTCCGCAGGCGTACCCTCGGCAGGGCTCGGCTCCTTCTTCTCCCCCTGCACATCGTCCGCCGTCGGCTCACTCGGGACGTCGGCGACCGCAGCGGGCTCCGAGGGTGCGACGGACGGCTCGGGAGCAGGCGAGGGTTCAGCGGCGGTCAACGGTTCAGCGGGCGTCTCCGTCGCAGTGGGGATCTCAGTTGCAGGCTCGGCCGGAGTCTCGGTCACTGGTGTCTCTCCACCTGCTGGCGTATCCAGTGCGGGCGTCTCCGGAGTCTCTCCAACAGCCGGCGTTCCCGTCACAGCCGGCGTTTCAGCGGGTGTCGGCTCATCATCTTCCATCGGCCGGGGGGTATCGGTCACTCCTCGTGCGGGCGTGGCAGATGCTGTCGGCGGCTCGGAGTCGTCGAAATCATCTTCGGGGAACGGGGTCGAGGCGGACTCATCAAGACGAATCCACTTGCACACCTGACGGTCAGCTACCCTGTCAATCTGCCGGGGGCCGCAGCAACCAGGTGTGGCTACCACCTACCTTGTATGTGCTTCCCTCCGGCAGCCCAGCAGGTGTTGTCCATCCTTTGCGCCATCGCTTCACTGGCGCGAGCAGCTGGCGCTGGTACGCCTCGGAAGCGGTGTTGGTGGTGAAACGGCCCTGAATACGTCGTACGGCTGATTGAGTGGATGCACAATAAAGACGTTACGCAGAAGAAGGTTCGGAAAGAAAGGCAAGCGTCAGCAGATGGTCTCTCGAGCTTGACCGTCGAGTCCGCGACACTTCGCGCCAGCGGTGATGGTGAAGAACCCTCCTACGCAAGGCGAGCATCTCGCCTCGAAAGCCTGCGCACAGGGATACCCCATGCGTTGATACGGATCTTCAATGGCTATGAACTTACCGTGAGACATGACCGTGGATGGATGGTGGATGTAGAGAAATCAACAAAGCATGAGACGCGTCCCTCGTGGTTGCTCTCATCAGGTCCCGCTGTCATGACCGGTCGGCGTTCTAACCTGGACCGTTTTCCAGATCGCTATCATCCTCTTCGCTCTCCCTCGGTTCTTCATAACCAGGTGGTTTATGGCAAGCAAGCCTCCCTTTGCCCATTGAACCTCATGGCAGTACACGATAATGTGGCCGCAGCTCATGATCAACAATGCAACGCAATGTAATCCGTGGCAGCCCTCCCCTCTGATCTTCCACTCCCTCCCAGTCAAATGCAAGTGGCAGTACTTTAAGTGGCACGCGTTACTACACCTGAGGCGTTCTCATTATGCATTGGTTTCCTCCCCGTCCATCAGCGAAAAGCACAACACAATGCAATGCATAATGCATAGCGGTAGTCTGTGATATGCACCTGTCGAATCACGTGTCATTCCGCCTAAACCCGTTTTTGGCCAGGCGCTATGTGCAGTGTGTGGAGGAACCCGGCAGATTGATCCCGTCTACACCCCCTGCCCTCTCTCCCCTCACCTCCCTCCTCATACAATCACGATTCTCTTGTCGTCGACAGCATCTACATTCACCGATTGCACCATCCACCATCCCTCCGTCCTTCCTTCTTCCAGTACAACAAAACGGTCTGAACTCGACTCATCTCGTGCATCGAATCGACACCACTCCTCAAGCGATCTCCATCGATTTCTGTCCGGCCACGCCCTTCTCACTACACTCAACCAGTGTCGCGCTCGTCCAGTCCCTCTAAGCACACAACTCGTGTCTTCCTCGCGCCACCGCCGCCCACAGCCTTCCTCCCACCGCTATGGCGCCCTCCCCTGTCCGTGACAAGGACTCCGCCGCCGCGGAGCCCATGATCGACCCCGAGCTCGCCGACCTTCCTCCCCCGCCGCACCACAGCAGCAATGGATCTAACGGATCAACCCGCCTTCCGGGAGAGCCCACAAGCATCACCGAGAGCATCGCTTCGGCACCCAACCCTCACACCACCGACTTCTCCCCGTTACCGTTCACGCAGGACGAGTCGCAGATCCCGGTGGTCGATGACGAGCCTGGTTCACCGACGGCGCGTCTGCTTCGTGCCTTGGCGCCTCCTAACGCCGCTCAGCCGGATCCCAAGTGGCCTCCGGTAAGCAAACTGATGACGATCGTTGAGCTGACATGACCAGCCTCCCCCCAATGCGAGTGTGAACCTCTTCATCGGTATGTTGACGCCCAAGTCCTAGCAGAGTGGCAGCGACACTGTGCCACTCGGCCACATTGAAATTCGCCACCGCATCATTTACTGATTTTGCAGGCCGTGCCCTTCTTTCCAATGGCAATGACAACTGGCCTCTTGTAAGTACCTCTCCCATGACTTGCATCAACGCATGAAGGCTCTTTAGTGGTGGATGCGCCCCCTGTCTGCGTCAACAGAGGCTGACATGACAGAAACCCAACGACATTGTCAACTGGATTCGCAAGCACTACCCCGAGGAGTGGGACGGAGACGAGGGACGTTGCTCCGCGCATCGTGTCCGCACGTACCTTGCGCGTAAGGGAGCCGACATGTACTATGAGAAGCTCAACCAGGGCTGCATCGCTGGCTGGCGCATCCGTCAGAACCACCTCTGGCGGTTCGAGAACGGTGGCTTCCAGGGCCGCGGCATGAAGCAGGAGGAGGCGATGGCGCAGCAGGCGAAGGAGAACGAGGCAATGGCTACGGCCGTGCACAAGGCTGCCGCTGCTGCGGCCCTCGCTCAGGGCCACCCGGGCATCAAGGTGTCGATGTCGAGCAGCGGACTGAACGAGTCTGCGAACAAGCGCCGCAAGCCGAACGGACAGGCCCGGCGGAAGAACGAGAAGAAGAAGCCGGAGGAGTTCGACTACTCGACATACCAGGCGACGCCGACGTACGAGGCCGACTCGGCGGCGCTGCAGAGCCTGGAGCAGGTGGGCGAGTCATCGACCCAGCCGGCCCAGCAGCAGCAGCAGACGACGGAGGAGCAGAACCTCGACGCGAGCCAGCTGCAGCAGGCCATGGCTGCCGCGAACGCGGTCGCAGGCGTCGGCAGCGTGGGCCAGATGGACGAGCTCGAGATGGGCATGCAGCTCCCGATCGAGATGCAGATGCACTCGGAGAGCCACGACGACAGAGAATACTACGACGGCAACTATGCCCAGGGCTACGGCGAGTATAATCAGCAGCAGTACGGAGACGGATACCAGCAGCAGTAGTGGGCTGCAGTACAGCAGCAGTAGACATGTTTTCCCTCCCCCTTACCTACCTCGACCATGTAAATAGCAGTACTATGCCATTATATGATGTGTGTCGTGTCGAGATGCTTTGCGCACTTGGTGTCAGATGGGATGTGGTTCGAGCGGCAGTGAGCCTAGAGATGCTGATCGTACCGCTGATTCAGATCTCCCGACTGCGGATCAGATGACATAGGGAGTCAACGTATATCGGCATGCTCAACACACTGCTTGTGGACATTATTTCAAATTCATTCGTCTCTGGGCATCTATAACACCTGCTATCTGTCTCATCTGCTACTATGTCTGTCTGTCGGGCTACCTGCGTTCATACGTGCTCAACGTGCCACCCTGCGTACCGCGTGATATCTAAGGAAAGAGAAATAAAAAAAGGAGAGAGAGGAGAAAGCTGAACAAAACCCAAAAGTGCGTGAGGAAGAGACTGTGGTTGTGGTGGGAAATGAGGGAGAGCATGGGGTGGGGTCTATGCCGTCTGCCGCAGAGCTCACGGCTCCGCGTACAGGATCAGCCTCTGGTCCTCCGTATTCATCCAGTCGGCGAGGTCGCGGTCGTTGTTGATACGCCGATTCTGCCCTCCGGCGCCATTGGGGCCGACAGGGCCCCCGCCAACCTTGTACTGCAGCGTGCTGATGTCGGGTCCTAACCGCTGGTGCACCTTGTCCATGAGCTCGAGGTAGGTGACGTTGCGCTGGACGCGGAGCGCGATGAGGTCGTCGGTCGTGCCGTCGTAGATCTTGATCTTGACAAAGGGCACGGGACCAGAGGAGGTGCTGCCCGTGCTGTTCTGCGCGGCGGGGTGCTGCCTGCCGCCGGCGCCGCTGCCGCCTTGCGAGTGGTTCGACTGGTGCATCGCACCCGGGAAGGGGCTCGCCATCGCCGACGGAGACTGCGTGATCGGGCCGCCGTGCACCCCGCTCGACTGGTTGCGCGTGTGGCCCAGGTGTACGACTGGGGCATCGTTGCTGGGTGCCCGGACGTGACCGAGACCGCTCGACTGCTGCGACCCCGTCCGTGCCCGCGCATAGTTGTTGGACGCCGAGCTCTCGAAGCCCATGTCGCCGAGACGCTCCTCGAGCTCGTCGATGGCGGCCTGGCGAGGCGTCTCCTCGCAATAGTCGCCGTACTTGACAGCGAAGAACGTCCGGATCAACTCGTGCCGCAGAATGTAGCCAGCCCCCTTGTTACGGAGGTCGAGGAGTGCTCGGACGTAGGCGTCGAGCTCGTCGCGGCGGTATTCCGTCAGCTCGTCGTCGATCTGCTCGTCGACAGGGCCGGGCATGAAGGGGAGGATGCGGGGCGGAGGGTTGTCCTGGTCGTCGCCGGGCTGTGGGCGACCAGCCTCCGACGGGAAGGTGTCAAGGAGAGTGATTTGGAAGTCGTAGAAATCCTCGTATGTGCGGTACAGGCTTAGCGTGTAGGCAGGGTGAGTACGCTCATCGGGAACGAACGAGGCATGCAGCCGGAACCAGTAATTTCCAGATTCGTTGTGGAATGATGGAACACCGAGCTGGACAAGCTCGCCGGGAGGAAGCATCTGGTCCTGCTCCGGCTTGTACCCTCGTTGCGCGGAGCCCTGTCCCACAGAGTTTGCCTGGGAAGCATTCCTCTGGTGTTCTCGGGAGCCGGAGCTTCGAGGCGCACTAGCCACAGCAGCAGCTGCCGGCGTGGGCGAGCTCGTGCGGGCGTTCGACTTCTGAGATCCAGCCGAGTTCGGGGGCGGCGCATAGGGCGAGTTGGGAACGTGGTGGTTCGCAGGCAGGTCCAGTCGTCCCAGAGGGATGGCGGCAGCCTTGTACTCGGCCGTAGCCTTCTTCCACTCCTCAACCTGAGGAATGGTGGACGGGAACTGGTCGAGCGCACGGCCAGTGAGAGGGTCGCGAATCTCCACGAATGTCACGGGGATGAGGCCGGGTCCTCCCAGGCGGCCGATAGGCTTCGCAACGAACCACTCGTGGTTGCTCTGAGCAATGACCACGATGGGTTCTCCAGCCTTGGCCTCGAGCTCGTCCGGGCGCTCAGCGTGGAAGTCATACTGCACAATGGCATAAAGACTTGCCGTCAGTAAAGGGTCGCTGAAATCGATATGACTCACGGTTGAGTGGGCTTCTTGCCAGGCGTCGTAGGCGCCGAGTTCGGGGCACCGATAGGAGTTGTTGGTGATGACCGGTCGCCATGCCGAGCCTGCCCACCCTGGGACATGGAGCGCGAACTGGATAGTGTCAGCCTATCATCTGAGATCCGGCCAAACCGGCCGACGGGCGAAGCACTCACTGGTCGCCGCTGGGGGTCGCCTGATGACCTCCGCCCTGTGGCCTTCCGCCCTTGCTAAACTCCTCAAAGTCCTCCTTGGGAACCAGGCCGCGCGATCCAGTGAGAGGGTCTGGTTCACTAGTGTCTCCTCACAGAAGCGATGACTCACTTAAAGCCTCGTACCATCCCTCACGCTCTCCGGTCACGTACCAGAAGTGCCCTTTGTTATAGGACAGCTCCTGAGGGTTTGTACTGCGATGTGACTTGAGAGCCTTGATGACCTTTTGGGGCGGGGCTACCTTCTCCGTAGGGCGAGATAAAGGGTTCGCAAAGCTAGCGACGGGGGCGCCTCCTCCGGCAGAGCCTGGAGGGGACATGGCACCGTGGGCGATGTGGGGCGGGGGAGGGACGTTGGGAGCGCCTTGGCCGCCGTGAGGGTGAGAGTGTCCGTTGTTGTTGAGGGAGCGCCTCAGTGACTTCATGTCTGATGTGAGGGGGCGTCTGACGTAGACGATGGGTTGTTCGATGGTTGCGAGGGAGAGATAGGGAGAGAACAACGACGGCACGCGACTTGCCGATATGAATAATCCAAGTGATATGGGTCGCGAGGGACGTGCGCGCAAGGCGCGAAGGTGGCTAACGAACGGGTCTTCTGGTCTTGAAGGGTCGGTTTGGAGTTGGAATGCGACGGTGTTGTGCGGAGAGCGAGTGGACCAAGCGAGACTCGGTCTACTGAATCCCCTTTGTCACACAACCTCGGCTGGTGTGCTGGCGACCAGTTCACGCTATCGCGAGGATGGGGCGCGGTGTCCTATTGTCTTGAAGAAGACTTGTGAGAGAAACAATGCGTGAATGCTCTCAGACAGCCGGCCGATGTGTCTATGGATGACCGACTTTGGGCGAGATCCGGTACGGCGAACGGGTGGATGAGGTAGTTGAATGGGTAATGATGTTCAGACCTCGAGCACAGGGAAAAAGAGTCCGCTGGGACAATGTCTAATTGTCGGAGGGGGAGAGGCGTTTTGAGCGCGATGGGGAATACACTGGGGTACTAGAAATGCTTTTCCCGGTTAGAGAGGAAATCTCGATGCGATCGATTTTTTCAGTCGAAGCGCCGGTAGAGTCGGGTGGAGGCTGTGCAGCTGTGCGATGGCCGTGGTCGTGATCGTGAATCGTGTCAGAAACGGTGGATGGGTGAGGGTGAGTGGAGGAGGAGGATGGATGGATGAGAAGATGGTGAGCTGGCGGCGGTGGCAGAGGCGCAGCAGGCAGCAGGCAGTAGGCGGTGGTCGAGGAAAGGGAGGAGGGCAGGGTAAGGAAAGGATGAATGAGGGCCTGGAGGGCCTGGAGGGCCTGGAGGGACGAGACGAGCGAGCGTAGCGTTGCTGGGTGGAATAGTGAGCGGGGGGCCAAGGGATTAGGCATTGGTTAGGAATAGCCCTGGGTCTAATGGCAGCGCAGCGGCGGCAGCGCGGCAGGCGACCCCGGGCACGACCAAGGGCGCAAGGACGAGATGGGCCAGCTGATCTCGAGCCAGCTAGCCAGGATGCCGCTGCACAAGGCCAGTGCACGCTGGCTGCACGGCAGCTGCCAGGGACGCCGTGGGTCAAAGGGCGGCTCAAGGGTCCAGGGCCGCGACGGCCCCTCGCCTGCTGCTCAGAGTGGAGGTATGGAATCCTTCTAGCCTATGAGCTTCCATACACCGGGCCCAGCATGGCCAGCATGGCCTGCGTGGGGTGGCAGGCAGGACCGCATAGGGGCGGCCAGGAATGCACCTGAATTCCGTCCAGCACTGGTCCACATGAATCCAGTCCAGACGCGTCCTTGTCCTGACTCTGTACAGCTTCAGCAGGCTGAGCACGCGCTAACGCGACCTGATCAGCGTACAGCGTGCTCGCCGCCGCTGTGCACGCTGTGCCGGAATGGGCGGCGCGGCACAGCGGTACCGGCGCAAGCGGCGGCGGGTCCGACTGTTGATCCTGCAATCCATTCATAGCTAAGCCGGTTTGGCTACATGGCGTTGGTGTCTTGGATCGTAACGGTCTGAGCGCATATCGTAGCCGGCTGAACTACATGCTTGCGCTGCTGTTGCCAAACGCTGCTTCTTACCTCTTGCGGCTTTTCATGTCACTGGATCTTTGAGACGCCAGCACAACTGCGAGACTGCGCTCCCTCGGATCCCAACTGCGACTCGGTGCGCTCGCCGAAAGGAGCTTGGCGAAGTCTTCGGTGAGGATATCTGCACTGAAGAGAAAGAAGGTCGACACGAGAACATGAGCGCAGCCAGGGTTGCAGGGCGAGCAGGGCGGCAAGGCACCCATCTCCCCTTCCTTCTTCCTGTGGTCCTGCGACAACCCCCAGCCTCCTTTCCTTCTTTTGCTGCTCTGGCACTGTCTTCGCCGAGGAGGCTGACGGTCATGCACTGCGCATTGGACGGGTTGGTGGGCTGACGGCGAGCGGGCAGTGCCTTGGTGTGTACGGCTACATTACCGGTCTGCCGGTAGGAGTGTAGGAGGCAGGCGCCTGTGCGATATACGATCATACGATGGACAGAGCTCGTCACGGATCACGCATCGCGGAGGGCGCAGGGCGGCGGGGCGCTGAGGGGCTCAACAAAGTGCACTGACACGCAGCAGCGGAACGGACGTGCAGATCAGCGATCTCTCCTCTTCATGGGTCTGGAGCTCCCTTTGCCCGGCTTTGCCCACGGCCCATGGAATGAACACAAGATAGGAGCAGCGAAAGCGGGGGTTACGAATCCTTGTTTGTTTGCGTCGGAGACCGTACCGTCCGTTCGGATAGATTACGGAGCTGCTTACGTGCAGCTGACAGCTGCTTCGGTGTCCTTCGGTATCGCTTAATCGATATAGCCCTGCTTTCTGCCCCGTCCCGTTCCTTTACCAGGTTTCATCCTGCCCAGACATCAGGACGCGAGCAAGCGAGGGCGTAGGGATCTGTTTCCAATGTCCAGCATCCGCCTCTCATCAGGTCGTCCTGTGTACTGCGAGTGTCGAGCATGCACAGACGGCTATTGGCTATTGGTGGAGATGAAAGCGACAGGATCCAGAAAGACGCGGCGTCGGCCAACTTGTTTCGGACGTGCACCTCCGTCGCAAACCAGCGCATAGCCTCCGGCACATGCGGAACAGGAGGAAAGCATGTTGCCGGGGTCGCGGGTGTGCGCAGTGCGGGTCGGATTCCCATGCAACGAGGTTCTCAGCAGAAGTCTGGAGTCTGGGTGTACGTACTTCTGTCCAAGGGACGAATGTACGTACGGCGTCCGCTGGTGCATGGCTTGCGCGCTCCCAGCTGCCGTTGTGCAGCGTCAGGTGAGCTGCATGTCGCGCTAAGCAGAGCTACCAACCTTCGCCGTCGGTACGTCGGAGGATGCGCGCATGCAGTGCGCCTCAGATCACGCCCAGATGTACCCCACGATATCTCCGAGCGCAACGCAGCGACTAGTTGGCATGTCTCACCCGGGCCTCACATACCCCGCACCTCCGCAACGTGCCAGGGGACGCCTAGCTTGTCTCGACCTGATGCGGGCTGCGAAAGCTTAAAGCCTGCGGATCTTCAACGACTTGCAGCTGTCTTACGTCTCTTACGGCGCTTACGTTCGGTCCACTCGTCTTCCGGACAACCCCACTGTACCCCAGTCGCAGTAGACGTGCAGAAGCAGTGTGGCAAAGTTGACTGCATGCTTGTCAGGCCCTGACCCGGCGTCCCGGCTTCACACACTGAACGACGACCACGCACGCTGACAGCGTGACACAGTACGCACTCGTGCTGCTCTGATCGAGCGACGCTCATGGATCTTCGTCTTACTTTCCTTCTCCGCTGGGTTGTGGCCAGGAATACTTTAATCTCCGTCAATGCACTACGTGCGCCCATTGTGAAGCAGTGGGACCGGCAGCAGGTACGATCGGTGAAGCATAGATGGCCGCAATGCTTGTACTGCCTCTTGCAACTGTAGTTGGGCGATCAGAGTTCTGGGCATTCTTCAGTTTCACGCAGCCAATCACTCGACCAACGCATTACGTACGCTTATGCTTACTGCCACCTTGCTGGCACATTTGGGGCTCAAAGCTGAGTGTGAAGTCAAAGCACACAGCTCATGCGAGGGATGCGGGACAGAGTACGGTAGTGTAACGGAGCATGCGTTGAACACGTGCATCCGTTGCCGCTTCAGAAGTTCGGAACAACTGTGGCGGTACAACGGGAGACCATGACGAGAAGCAAGTACGAGATGATGTGCATCTTGCCCGCGAGCGGAGGCAGATCAGGCGGATCCCACACCATGACCGGCCATTCGAACGGCAAATGGGCACGACTGCGGATCCGATAACAGCCCGAGTCTCGATTTCGACCCGCTCGAGACTTTCATCTCGGCGAACAGCTCCACCATCAACGACTGGTGGTCAGGTGCTCATGTCTCTTGTGCCACTTATCCAGTGTCACGTTCAGTTTGCAGTGGGGCCGCGCGGCATTCGCATGACGCATCGCCGATCAGCCGGGCCATTGAGACCGATCGGCGGGCATTCAAGTGACAGACCTTGCAGAAAGATAAACAAACCACCATGCAGTCGTCTGTCGGCTCCGATTATGTGGCAAGTGGGCTCATGAGGAGCTCACTCGGCGAAGCGAGGAATGTCGGCTTTGTGGAAGAAGACACTCTCCACACGCCGATACTCCGATACGAGCTGGGGAATGCGAAGCTGTTACAGATGTTGACACCGATCAAGACTGGGACTGATCGGATCGGTGTGTGGAGTCAACATCAGGTTGAACAGTCTCAGCCATGCAGCCACGAAGCCACCGTTGTCGCCGCCGGGTCGCTGGAGTGGAGCCACAGAGCCACTGACGCGGTGGGGCGGGTGACTTGCCCACCTGCAGCCGCCAGGAATGACTTCTGGGCAGCCAGGAACGGCATTGATAACTTTGAGACTGGCAACATGTTTCCGACTGCAGCCCAGACACGAGCGTCTGTCTCATGTCTCTTGGGGACACCGAGGCACAGACTCGATCTAACCTTCGACTGCCTGCGTCAAGCATGTCGACGCCCTCTCACACGCGGTTTCACGAGGACACGTACATGCGGCCTGCTACGCCCACCCCGCAACTCTGGAGGAACCATGAGGCATACTGGACGCCACACTCGTGCACTTGGCAGGGAACATGGCCGTGAAGCCGACTCTGGCCGGCGGCAGCTCCACACGCCTGCCCGCCGGCACGCCAAGTGTGACTCCGGCGAAGCATAGAATGCGCAGGTGACAGCCCAATGTCGTAAAAATCGCAGGATGTCTCTGTGTCGGAACCACTCAAAATGATCAGGTGACCCAGTGCCGCAGCGCGTAGCAGGTGGGGATGAAGACAGCCGAGCACAGGGACCAGACTTGTTTGTGTGCGAGTCTGGCCACTTGTCTGACGTACTGCAAGCTTCGGTTGCGTTATTATTGTCTCGAAGACCTGGCAAGGCACTTCTTGTTGAAGAGCAAGGTTCGGCACATGGTGCATTCAGTCGGGCATTCATGCGCGATCATGCAGCTCACGAGTGCACTCATCTTTTCAGAGCTTGACGCGGATTAGCACGCCCGGTGCGCGGAGTACGCCCGGCTAACGATCCAACGAAAGTAAATGGGATCGCTAGGCTTCGTTATGCAATGCGACGCGTCCGTGAATGGCCAGATTAGGGTCCCGGCGGTATTTCGAATGATTGTTAAAGGGTGGCAACGCTGGTGGCAAATATAAGATTCTGGCCTCTGCGAACCTGGCGTGTCCCTGGGGTTGCGGCATCCTGGCGTAGCTCTTGCGCGCGCCCTTGTGGCCACTGGGACCCTGGCGTGCTGCCCCTCTTTTCGTAATCCTGGACAGACGCGCCGCGACACGCTGGTACGCTAGTGCGCTGGCTGCATGCTGGCCTGCGGCACCAGCACAGCACCTACCGCCGCGGGATCAAAACCGGTGCTGGTCCGTGCGGTCTGGACCTGTTCGGCCCTGCTGCCCTTCATGCCCTACCTCTGTACCTCTGTCCTCGATCCTCGACACGGTGTTGTCGTTGACCTCGTTTTAGAGTTACCCCTTTGGGTGATTCTCGTCACGGACTGATGTTCTGACCCGTTCGGTTCTTGCATGCATGCTTAATCGTCCTTCGCTAGCGTACACAAAAGGTCCTGGGCTCACCGTGCTCCCTGGCGCACCCTCGGGCGCTGTACCCGGTCAGGTCGCCTGACGCACGACCACCGCCGCCGCCACCATCGCGCGCCGCGCCGACGCGCCAGGCCTCCACGGGACAGCCTGGCCCTCCACCCTCGAGCACCCTCGGCCTCTGCTGTCTCGATGCCGTCAAAATGCACCCAATAATGCATCCTTCAGGATACGTATTTCGGATGAAGGCGTAGACCGTCGTGGTTCCGTAGCAGCCGTTCGCCGCCTGGCGTGTGGGAGGCTGTGTTGGCCGCGCTCGTGGACGCCAGGTGCTCAAGCATTTTAGCTTGTTTCGAGAGATTCGTACTAACCCAACTTGCAACTGGATTCATTCACGCCGTCCTGGGTCAATTGGCCACCGGTCCATCCACCCGTTCTCGCCTCTCGAGCCTCTCGTACTCCCCCGTACCTCGTCCTATCCCCACCCCCCCACCGTCGCCTCGTCCCTTTCGTGCATTCACTACGCCTGATCGCTTGATCATCGCTCCGCGGATCCTGCGCGTCGGCAGACCGTTACGCAAATCACAGAAAAGGTCATCACTGGAACGCGCGTGGACGCCTGGACGCCCGACCTGGCCTACCTTAGTTTCCTAGGTCCTCCGTAACTCTACCCGTCCCTTTCTTGATTGCCTTCTTCACTTTGCCTACACTTTGCCTACTGGTTCTTCCCCGCACTCGACCCCGACCCCACCCCAAGCAGCGACAGCACCGGCGTACCGGCACGAGCATAAGCACGCCAAACCGACTTAGCTTTGTACGCAAACGCTTAGCATCACTTTCATCCTCACCAACCACCACTACGATCGCCCCGGCACCTGGCAGCCTAGCATACCCCTTGGCCCCCTCTCGTGCCCCGGTTCCTCGTGCGCACGCACCCTTCTTCCTCGATCTGGCCGCCTGACCTGACGACCGAGCGAGCGATTGGAACGGTGCCCTTGCGACGTCTAAGGACAGCTAGGACATTGTCTCATTTCAACGACGCCAACCACCCGACCCAACACACCGCTTTATCCACCGCGTCGTATTGTCTTCCCTGTTCAACATCACTTCTTGTTTGATCTCAACGACTGCTTCAACCCCTCCCACCCCTTCGCCCCTCCTTTCACTCTTGCTATTAACCACCTGATATTTTATCCCGAGCACCAGCAACGACCTCCACTCGGCGCACCGGCGACGCTCGTCACCACCATCTTTGCCCCGGCAGCACCGCCCCCTATCTAATCTGTCCCCCACCCGCAACTCGCCCCCCTTCAGCAACACAGCCCAGATCAGCAGGGCTTCGGTCGCACGACGACCGCAGGAGTGTGCCAGCATGTACTCTCCTCTCGACCAGCTCGTGAAGGGCGCGGGCGTAGGCGTCGGCGGCGGTGCACCCTCCACAATCTCCTCCTCCCCGTCGTCTGCTGCGCCCGACTCAACAGATGCCGACAAGCCCATTCCCGCTCTCGACTTCAACCTCTTCCGATCACCTTCCATCTATTCCGTCGACAGCGGCCTCGAGACGATATCCCTTGCCTCATCAGAGTGCCATTCACCGTACACGGGCCCGATCGACCTCGCGAGCGACTCTGAATCGGACGAGCGGTGCTACACCGATGGCGAGAGCAGCGAGGACGACTACATGGCCGTCGATGAGCGGCCGACATCACCTTCTACTCCCCGTGCGAAGCGCACTGCTTCTGGGGACACACTTAGGGGGAGCCCGGGAAGTCCGACGCACACCCGTTCCACGACGCCGACGCGCCAGGGCCTCAGCCACAATATGCCCTACGCCCACGCCGGCGCCATTCGCTCAGCCCTGACCGACTCGTCTTTTGCTCTGAAGGGTGTTCCATCTGTGCGGAACGGACGGTCACATTCGGCCTCGAGCGATGAGGTTCAGCCGTCCGCAGCCGCAGCTATGGCGGCTGTTGTTGCCACCAACCGGTCCGCCTCCGTCCCGGTGCGTCCGCAGGAGGCCATTCAACCACACCTTGTTGGGCAGCCCTCTCACATCGCTGATGACGCTGCGAGCGTGCATGGCGAGCAGGGCTCAGATTGGGGTGACGATGAGAATGGTTTCGAGTGGCTTGACGCCAACACCCCTGAGTCCACCAACGGTGACGCCAAGCGCTACAGCTCCTCCTCGAATGTTAATGGCCGAACATCGCGTCTGCGGGTGGCCATCAACCAGCCCACAGGATCAGGATCACTGAGCCCTGTGCCCAGTGAAGGCTCCAAGGAAAGCGATGAGTCACCGACAACCCCTGTCGCAACTGCGCCTGGATCATCGCTCCTTAGGGCACCGCAACTCACGCCAAACAACTCCTCACAGGCGTCTCTCAACAGCAGCTCGACGAAGAAGAAGCGTCCGATCGTGATCCCAAGGCGTGCGGCTCCTCCGCCCCCGCCAGGTGCTCCGGAGAACCTTGACATCCCTCTGACGCGCTCCCGCTCGCCTAGGAGTCCTCGCGGCATCCCAACCAGCCCAGGGCCGCCTGTACAGTCTCGGCCTCGTGCCTCCACCCCTGAGGAGGTCCCTCCCGTCGTCGTTACCAGCGCTTCACCTTCGCCTCACCGCGGAGGAGACAGCTCATCTATCGGCATTGGTCGCCCCAATGGTCGCCAGACCAACCTCGTCTCGGTCTACGAGCTCGGTGATGCTTCCAGCTCGTCTGACACTCTGCGTGGCGGACGGTACGCCAAGGTTCCGCTCCCCGCCGAGGCGCCGCTTCGCGGGAAGAAGATGGGATCGCCAGTGTCAATGTCCGACATGGCTTCTGAGCACCGGCGTCGGGAGCCTCGACGCCACGCGTCCTCGGCCATGCTGTCTTCTCGCTCATCCAAGCGGGGATCGTCGGAGGAAGAGCTGGATCTTGTTTCCCAGGCTAAGCGGCATCGTGACAAGGGTGACCTGCCCAAGGCGGCTTGGCTATTCATGAAGGCTGCCGAGCAGGGCAGCGCGACGGGTCTGATACATTATGCCATCGCACTTCGTCACGGGTGAGTATTCGTATTGATCATTTTCGATTAGTTGCGTCCGAAGCTTACATACATCAGTCTCGGAGTCGCTCGGGATGAGCGTAAAGCTTTCGCCGAGCTTGTTCACGCCTGCGACGTTGGCCTGAAGGAGTCTCCAGTGGACCTCCGCGCTGCCAAAACTAGCAATGTCATCATTACGCCCGCTCAGCGCCGACAGCTTCTGGTAAGTAAGAACAAGGTTTCTCGGTCCACAGTAACAGGCACCGGCTCGAGCTTTGACGGACGTCCCGCGAGCACATGGCTAACTCTCCAGCCTGATCTGTCGCTTGGCCTGACTGAGGTTGCGAACTGCTACCTTGAGGGCAGTGGCGTGAAGAAGGACAAGAACTCTGGCCTCGAGTATCTCAGGCTGGCTGGCACCACTGGCGACCTGGGCGCCCAAGAGCGTAAGTTTCCCGCTCTTCCTTCGAGTCCTCTGGTAATTGACGTTCAGAACTGGGAGAGATCCTGTCGCGCGGAATCGGAGGAGTGAAGAAGGACGTGAAGGAGGCCGCGAAATGGTACCGAGCCGCTATCCAAGGAGGGAGCAATGTTCCCGGTTTAGCGTGGGTTTGGAAAGAAAAGTACTCTTGTTAATAAGTAGGGAACAACGAAGCAGACTTCGAGCGAGAGCTCTCCTTGTGTGTGAACTATAACCTATAGTTAACCCGAGGCTTTTCATTCTTCGATTTTGGACATACTTGGATCCCCCATCTATCACTGTTAGGAACCCCAGGTCGCGCTGCCCAGCGTTGGATCTGCAGAACGCCCCCATCCATCTCACCCAGAATCACGCGACCAACCCAACGCACGACCACACTGCATCGAGGATTGATTCCGAACTGGGTCGATTGAGTCGACAGACATCACATGAACAATGGACTGTTTTTGATTGTCCCCATAGCTAGAGGGAGAGCGGGAGAGAGGAGTGAGATAGGGAACGCGAGGAGGCCTCGTTCCATGTTGTAAACAAGCGCCCCATAGGTCTTGGCCGCAATGTCATTTGGTTGTCTAGACGCGATTCCATGAGCATGAGCAACAGTTAGTTTCACAGGTGGTATGAAGCTATATCTGCATGCGGTATAACACAAATATCTGGCGGTATCGTAACGTGTAGAGTGTACAAAATACAGCCTTTTAAGGACGGGGCTCGCGGGGCTGGCTCCACGAGACGTTGAGGATGAGCGAGTCGTAACCGTAGCCGTTCATCTTCTGGAGCGCGAGCTCGGCATCGGCCTTGTTCTCAAACGAGACAAAGCCGAAGCCCTTGCTCTCCCTCGTCTCGCGATCCCTGACGACATTGGCGCGCGCCAGGCGGCCACGCGACGCAAACGGCTCGAACAGATTCCGGAGGTCGCTGTCGTCGGCGTCGAGCGAGAGCGACGTGACACGCAGCGTGGGGAAGTCGTCGCGGGGCCGGAACATGCTCTCTCCCGGGCCGCCACCGCGCTGGCCGGGGGGCACGTAGCGTCCGCCAGCGGCGGCGCCGGCGCCCCGGGG